CTCAGCCCACAGATGGATGGAGTCTCTTTGCTTGAGTATTTCATCAGCCGTGCCGCGGGACTCGTCAACCCAGCGACCCGTTGGAGCAGCAGAGACAGAGACAGAGAGAGAGCGAGAGAGAGAGAGAGGGGGGGAAATTAATTTACGTAAGTCACAGAAAGAACCTACCGAACCCACAGCACAGCCAATGGGACCCAACAACAGCTGACACTCGTGACTCAATTTCTCGATTTCTGTGCGAAATACTCGCACTCCCCCCAGTGCATGATTTTTGTATGGCTATTGCAAAATTCTGAATTTCACATTACAGATTCTAGGTGCTGATTACACACGCATTTATAATGATTTCACAATTTTCAATAATAATAAAAAGCAATTAGAATTGCTCTTTAAACTTCACTGACGAAACTTTTTCAGTGTAAGAAAAACTGGGAAAAGCGTTTCAGACATAACCCGAATTAGATGCAGATTCATTTGTTCTGTCCATAATATTTATCTCTTTTTATTTCTTTCTAGGTTTGGAAATAAGGATTTACTTTTCGTTTGCTACAAATTTAATTTAGTTTTGGTATAAGAAATTCCTAAAACCACAAGATTTTACGGTGATTAAATTTCTTGTTGTGTGATCAAAACGTTTATGGCTTTAAACCGCATAACTTGCACAATTCGCCTGAAAGTGTACCCCAGCAGCAGTGGACATTTTGCTCAAAGGAGCACTAAAACTAAATATAAATATGTACACATGTATGTACATTATATGTATTGTCTAATGTACCACAGAGCGCATAATATTAGCCGTCTCAATTTTGCAAATCAAAGCGCTTTTCTAGTTTCCATTATTGGTTCTATTAATACAACAGCAAAAGCAACAAAAAGCACTCCGCGGATGGAAACTGATGTGCTTAATACACTGACTTTTTCAACAGAATCCATTAATGATCACTCTAGTAAGTTAAACGGAAAAAATCGGTGTTAAAAAAAACAATTTAGTGGCAGATGGTAAACCGATCAAATGTGCTTATGAAATTATATTTAAGCAAGAACATGTGAGAGTTTTTTTTCCAAGAAATTATGTAGAAATAAAGGAACAGGTAAATATAACACGTGAAGAAATGTTTATGGAACAAATAATACCCAAATCTTCCACAAAGATATAACTAACAGGAGCAGGCGTTGCTCAAGTTTTTAGTCCTGAAAATTTCTTATATATAAAAAAGATATATAATTTATTAAGTAAAAAATATCAAATAAAATCCAGAGCAAGCCAATAGAAAATAATCGCCTAACCCTACCCCTCAGTAAGGGTATGAAAAAGAAGCTCTCGCTGTCATGATTTTCACACACACAGCACACACACACACAGCACACACACAGCCATTGGAAAATAATGAGTGTATCGGAAAAGTGAAATAAAATAAAATCAAATGATAGGCAAACAGCAACTGGGAAAAGTGATTATATAAAAGCCCGTTAGCCAGCAAAGCCGCGAGCAAAATACAAATAAAATATAAAGCAGCACAAAAACTGGCAGAAAAAGGAAGCAAAAAAAAGAGAGACCCCGAGGAGGGGAAAACAAGAAAACAGAGGCAGAATAATGCCAAAGAACGATTCCGATTTATCAGCAAAAAAAAAAAAAAAGGAAAAGCCAGTGAGAAGCGAGTGGGAAAAATACGCGTTTTTATCTCGCTGCTCAATTGATTTACATAATCAACGAAATCGCTTTTTATTTCGCTCTGCCCCTGCAACCCCTTTTTGCCTGATTCACTCTCGCTCTCTCTCTCTCTCTCTCTCTCCATGTGCATTTAATTAAATGCTGATTAAGTTTTATTCAATGGAGCACACAGCAGCACAGAGCTACAACAAAGCTGTTTCCCCATACAGACTTGTAGGAGATATAATAGAATGGCAGAGGAATATTACGTATACGTACAGATATCTGCTGATGTGTGTGGCCCGTGCATAGATTCGTAGATTAGTCATTGATATGGGGACAACGTGCCTGGCAGCCATCGGCGCATTTGTAAACGTGAATAATTTAATAACGCTCTCATTAAGATAATGAAATTAGTTCAAATAGTCAGCGCTCAGTGGACCAATGGTCAGATAATATAGCTGTACGGCCAATACAGACTTTGATTAGAAATGGGTGTACATGGGAATGTGCATAGTTCCATGTACTTAAAGCTGAAGGCTGCTGCTGTGTTCTAAGCTTGGCCACAAACATAAATACATAATACATATTTACATTTACATAATTACATTTACTGCCATATCGCATGACAGTTGGGCTCCTCATTAAATTCAAAATTCTGGCAAAAACCTACAAAGCAGCAGACGTGGCATGTGCGTAAATCAGATGTGAAAGTATCTGAAAACCACAACTAAGTTTTGGCATACAGCTGCAGGAATTGGGCAATCATTTATCTAAAATTAATTGAGAAATGTGTGCACATTAATTACAATTAAAGCTTGTATTTATACGAATAGAAATAGAAATTAGCTAAACGTTACATCAGATTTCGAGAATTCCCTGACAATTGTTGAATGTTAACTAATGATATTCTTTCCTCAGCGCTCTTGCGGTGCTCCTTGATCTTTACAAACTTACAAACAACAAACTAATTATGTAAAGACTTTGCTTAAGATCTCATGCCTTTGGGGAGCAATTATGAACGGAAACATTATCAAATTTAAACACATTTGATGGGCATACAAGATCGACGCCCCACAATAATATAATTAGAATTAATTTTCATATTTTAAGAGGATTACACACATATATTTGGTTTGATAATACCCAATTATAGATTGTGGGCTGACAAAACCATAAATTAACAAGCGACAAACATGCATTGTATGTTGAATAAATATATGCAGAAAATACAGTTGGCAAAATTCGATTTGCATGTTAAACAGGTTCCATATATTAATTCACTAATCGAAGGTATCGCTAGAGATAAATAACTGGCTGGCTGGCTGGCTGGCTGGCGTGAGAACGGAACTTTGTCAATGAAGAGCCAAAAAAACTTTGGGATAGACTTTGGATAGATATGTATTACATTTCGCATCTGTGAACTGTAAGTAAGTAACTGGAAAGCTCCACACAGAGAGCGCTATGGGACACACACAGCTGGGGCCATAAATCAGGGGAAAAACTGTTGCCGTGGCAAACTTGCCGATAAGCAGAAGGTGGTGGGAAAACTGTTGAATTATTTCCCAGGGCACACGCACACACACTCTCGGACACACACACACATTTTCACACTCTAAGCCAAAGACAATAAACTGCAAAATTCGCATAAAATATTGTGAGGAAATTAGAACAGAAGCATATCTAATGCCTAGAGTCGAGAAGGAGGAGGAGGACCATCCATGTGTATGTCGTTTGGAGTAACCTCAAGGAACCCATAAATCCTGCTAAAGGGAAAATCTCCGAGGGAAAACAAAAATAGAAAATGTGTCAATGCAAACAGGCAGCGACAAAAGCAACCTGGCCATAACCTGGCAGGGGACGAGGGGCTTGTCGCTGTTGTTGGGTTTTGGCCATCGGTTCGGTCGTGGACCAAGTGAGAATCTGGGCCATAAAAAGGTCCACTGGCAGTCCCTCCCGCTATCGCACAGCTCTCTATAGACACGGCTCGTTCCCATCGCATGCAATGCACTCGTTAAGAGCACAGACCCCGGCACCGGCTGACACTTGGACATGGGAAGCGGTGCGGTGGGATGGGATAACGGTGGAAATCGATTTCTGCTACCTGCGGCGGGTCTCAGATCGGTTCCGTACGGGATGGGACGAGACGAGGCGAAAAGAGAGAGAGAGAGAAGAGCGTACGTACCTGTCCCTTTTGCAGCTAATGGCCAGTACACCGCGCGACCAACATAAATCCATAAAAACGCACACAAAAAGGTAAACGCGGTAGAGAGAGAGAGAAAGAAATAATTAAATTGCAATTATGTGCAAACAATTCCAAATCCGGACGATTCGGAAAAAGTTAATTACACGACAATAAAGAGCAGAAGAGTGGTCTTTGGGTCGCAGCTCTCAGTTTCAGCTCTCTTCTCTCTCTCTCTCTCTTTGTGTCTCTCATTTTGTGCACACCAACGCAAACAGCTTAACAACCCTGGCAACATCCGTACGTTGATTGCTTTGAAGAGAGGATGAGAAAGGAGAATGAAGACTGGCGGAGGAGAGCACTTTGCATTCAAACGCGGACGAAAACGCGGGACTCAGACTTAAGCCGACATTAATGTGTATTTGAATGTGGCTTCTGGTGCTGGTGCTGGTTTAATCGGTTTGCTTGACTGATGCCCGGTGACACGTCGTCCACATTATCATTAGCGTCTGGGCCTTGACTCAGTCAGCCCCATGCGGATGATCGCAATTTACTGATTTCGCGACCAACGCCGCTACTTACTGCCGCTGCCTGCTGTCGCTACTATCATCAACGAGAGTGCTCTGTGCTCTGCGATCTGGTATGGTCTGCTGTGCCTGCGTCTGTCCTCAGCTAATGAAGACGGACAGACAAATTAGTTATGGTCTTATGATAAATTAGCCCGATCCAATTGCCTGCAGTCAGACTGGACAGTGGACAGGTCGTCGAATTAGTGACAACAGCAGAGATCCGGCAACGCTAACGACACGAAGACAACAACAACAACTGCCAAGAGGCAGCCAGATCTGCAGATGGGGCATTAAATGTGATTAAATTAAATGCACATTTGTGCATTTCTTTGTGTAAGTATAAGGAGAGTTGTGTGTGTGTGTGTGTGTAGGTTCCTATTGCAGTTTGTCTGTGTCGCTCCGAGCATGAGTAACTATAAGGAGGTTTCGTCGGTGGGAGAGTTACTCTCCGCTTTTTCTTACTGTCAGTGCTCCACTCCATTGTCGTTGCCCTCACACTTACAGCGAGAGCCCTTTCACTCGCACGAATTTCTTAGTTTCGCAGACGAGACCTCCTTGTTATGTTATGCATGCGTAGAGTGAGGTTAGATAAGACATGCGGACCATGCGGATTTGGTTTGGTATTTGACTACGGCAAACTCTTAGAACTGCCAGCAACCTTGAACACGTGAGTTGGCCAAACATTTCCCCTTCCAACAAACTGTAATTAGATTACCCAACTCAGTGGCAAGTTTAAATGTTAGTAAATCAGGTCAGCCAACCCTACACACCGGACGACGACCCACTGACTCACTGACTGACTGACAGTTGGGGGCAGAGTTTCGGCAAAAGTTTAATTAGATCTGCATACGGAATGAAAGGTCCCGGTCCCGCACATGTTCATGTCCCAAAAAAACAGGTTAACGAACTGTCAGAATGGAGTTCCGGTAGCAGTCGTGTGTCTGCTGCTGAAAGGATGCGCTGGCGCTGGCGCTGGCTCTGGCTTTGGCTCCTGGGACTCGTGGGTTTGCCTCAGAGCTGCACAGGACTATCGAGCAACCTGCCACTGGATGGCTATCTGGCTGGTCTCAAGGAGCTGCTGCAAAAGATACTGTGGACGGCAAATGTCAAGCGTTGCTTTGGTGTCATCACCGATGACCTGCACTATCCCATCTACGATCGGAACTTCTTCGAGTCGGTGGGTCGCCAGCTGGTGCCGTTCTATGTGGTGCGCGTGAACGACAGCGAGGATCTGCGTCGTTTGCCCGGCGATGTGGAGCTCGTGCTGCGTGCCATCAAGGCCAGGGACTGCGAACTGCACGTGATCACCATCCTCAATGGCTGGCAGGTGCAGGGTCTGCTCAAGTTTGTCTATGAAAACAGAGCGCTGAATATGCAGCGAAAGTTCCTGCTGCTGCACGACTCGCGGTTGTTCTCGCCGGACATGCTGCACCTGTGGAGCGTCTATTTGGGCAGCGTGTTCCTCAAGCGGCAGTCGGATAACAGGTGGGGGACCCAATAATATTCCTAGATTTTTTATTAAATTTTGTTGCTTGCTCCTTTTGCAGTTTTCAAATTTCCACTGTGGCCTTTCCGGGCATTTTGAGCGGCGTTTTGGTGCTTAAAAATCTCGCCACTTGGCAGCGCGGCAAAACCATCCATGAAAGGTTGCTGTTCCTGGACAATACGCGGGATCTAAAGGGTGAGTTTGCCATGGAGAACTCTGTTCCATTTTCTACCTATAACATTCCCCAGGTGCCTCAATGTCCGTGGCTGTGGTCGAGCATGTGCCCATGGTGCAGTGGTCCAACACAACAAACAGCTACCAGGGCGTCGAAGTGGACATTATGAATGCTTTGGGCCAGGCACTAAACTTTCAGCCAATCTACTATGAGCCAAACGACAGTGAGGACACGGATTGGGAGCAGAATGACGATGCTTATGGAGAGAACAAGACCCACATCGACTCCAAGCTCATAGCGGAAGTGGTAAGCGGCTGTTGGGTGCTCCTTGCTGACAAAAAGTAACTCTAGAAGCTGTTCCTTGCAGGCCATGCACGGCGCTCGTTTTGCCATTGGCGATCTGCACCTGTTTCAGGTTTATCTGCGTCTGGTGGAGCTCAGTTTGCCGCATAATTTCGAGTGCCTGACCTTCCTCACGCCCGAGTCTTCGACAAACAACTCCTGGCAGACGTTCATCCTACCCTTTAGCGCTGGCATGTGGGCTGGTGTGCTGCTCTCCCTTTTCGTCGTGGGCAGCGTCTTCTATGCCATTAGCTTCCTGAATGCCATTCTCACTGGCAGCGGCCATGATGCTGGCTTCTCCCGCTGCTGTCGCAGGCATCCAAGCCGTGGCGAGCCCCCCGACCCGAGCAACTATCGCCGGCTGAGCTTCCGCGTGGCCCTGAGCCGCTATCGTCCGCCGCTGGGTGCTGGCAAGCATCGCGATCTCTTCGATGATTATGCCACGTGCATTTTGCTCACCTACAGCATGCTGCTGTACGTGGCGCTCCCCCGCATGCCACGCAACTGGCCGCTGCGTGTTCTTACCGGTTGGTACTGGATTTATTGCATACTGCTGGTGGCCACATATCGTGCTAGCTTTACGGCTATATTGGCCAATCCTGCAGCGAGGTAAGACCATGAACTGAATTCGAATTGCTTTAACTTTTGTCTATTTTTAGGGTCACCATCGACACGCTGGAGGATCTGCTGCATTCGGGCATACCGCTCACAGCTGGCGCAGCCGAGAACAGGCAATTCTTTCTGGATGCCATCGATGAGGTGGCACAGAAAGTGGGCGCCAAAATGGATGTACTCGAACACAATGAAGAGCTGGTAAGCAGTTGACTTAAAATTGATTTCTAATTAGATTTTTGATGCCAAAACTTGTCACCTTTGAGCTTAAGCAGCGACACTATCTATTCCTTGAAATACAGCTTTAATTTTTATCTATTTGTATAAACAAAAACCAGTTTGAGGCAGCCACTAACGTATCTTATCAGTTGTAGGAAAGTTTAAAGCCTTTTGGCACACAAATCACTTTGCAAAGACACAAACAAGACACAAATATCGCTCATAAATTAGCTGTCTGGCATGAGATCACCTCAGTGGTGAGAAACTTAATAAATGTAAAACCTTTCTTCATTCACAGACAGCGCGCATTGCCAAGGGCCAGTGCGCCTACTATGATAATGAGTTCTATTTGAGATATATGCGCGTGGCGGATGAGGCTGGTGGCGTGGGCTCCGCGCTGCACATCATGCGGGATTGCGTGGTGCACATGCCCGTTGTGCTGGCCATGGAGAAGAACTCGGCGCTGAAGCAACGCGTGGATAGCACGTTACAACACATGACAGAGGGTGGCAAGTGGCACTCAGTGGAACCTTCCCACAGGTTCACTAATATTTAACCTCTTCTTGGACAGGTTTGATAGCCAAATGGCTAAAGGATGCGGTCAAACGTCTGCCCGCGGAGGCGCCTGCCCAACAGGAAGCGCTCATGAATCTCACCAAATTCTGGAGCTCCTTTGTAGCCCTAGGCATTGGCTATGTAGCCTCGATTCTGGCACTTTTGGTGGAGCATTGGCACTTCAGGCACATCATTATGAGGCATCCCATGTATGATGCACTCAATCCCAGCTTGTACTATAACTTCAAGCGCCTCTATCCGGATTAGGGCAACAGTTCTGGAATGCTCTGCTTATGCACTATACATTAAGGCAAGCACAAGCAGCACATCCACCCCATAACGGAATGATTTACAGACATCCAATCCACTTACGCAATGCTTATAATTACCAGCGGCAGATGACAAATGTTTTGTGGGGTACTCGAAAAAGCTGAAAAGTCTTCATTGACGCACCACGAACAAATGGCAAGAGGCCGTAGATGTGATGCCATTTATCATGACGTGGCCCAAGTGGCCTCAAGTGGCTCCCCCCGAAAGCAATGTGGTGAATAAATTCCAAGAGCCTTTTCGGTTGTGCCTTCAATCAACTTTTGTGGTAAATAATGATTTGCATTGTTTATGAGTTTAATGCACATTAGGCATTATTTGTTTATGGCCAACGGATCCATCGATTCGACACAAATCCTGAGATTCTCGTGCAGCAATCGGATGCTAAATGCTAAAAGCCCATAAATAAAACGCTTTTAAGTGGCGAACTAAACCCAAAACAAAGAAAAACATTTCTACACACCAAACACAGAAATGATTCCCCTTCAGAACTGTGTGGAGATATCGTCGGAGAGTGGCTGGGGAGCACTTCATAATTTGGAATCAGCAGCAGAATCGAAACGGTAATGGCAATCAGCATGAGGAGTGTGTGGCCTATGGAAGCCACAAAACCAGACGTGCTAAGCCATAAACAATGCCAAATATTAATAACAATCATAATAATTAATAAGCATTTGTTTGGCCATTTATTGAGCAATCTTTTTTTAATAATTCTTTGTTCTTTTTTTCCAGAAAAAATACAAATGGAAGACCACAAAATACTAGCAGATGAGCTCTTCTAGCTCTTGAGAGTTAAGCTAAGCGGATACATGATGACAGATTAAAGGTCAGCAAAATGGAACATAATCGACAGTCTGGAATATCACAGTAATGGGAGAGATGCTACGCCTACAAGGCTTTTGTTGTTTGACTTTTGGAGCTACAAACTTATGTCTGGAAATATAAATTAAAAATTTGGAATTTTCTGCACGCTTTATCCCTCACGTGGTAAGTCTTTTTATTCATAAATTTATAAAAACTTGTGTAGCAAAAGTAATCTTTACGAAATGCCTTTTGGTATGTCGAATATTGTTGAAATTTTCGGCCGGATTCTGGTAGTTCTTGGAATATTTCTATTCAACATTAAACAACGTCCAATATTTAACCCACTAATATTCCTTTTAATTAATCCCAATAATTGCCATAACAATTAATGCCCATCCCTCCCACACAAACATTTATTCATATTTTCTAAATATTTTATCTTATATTTTTTCCCCCTCAATGCATATGCATTTTTTTTTTTAGAAATATTTATTGTTTGCATTGCAAAATATTTTTAATTTGATTATTTCTGGGCATTGGACTGCATTTTTTCACCATGAAATTGTTTCGTTTTGTTGCTCCCTTTTGATAAATATTTATGGTGTGTTGTTTTATTTGCTCGTTGTTTTCATTTCAAATTTTGTGCATATAATTTAATTAGTTTTGCTACATTTTATTGTTGGACTCTAACGCTTTCCTCTTGCTGTTTGCTCCCCTCTATATAAGTCATCCATTATGGGGGCCGGCCAGTCTCCACATTACTCTCACACCAAGAGTCAGGGGAAATTCTTGTTATTCACACTTGCTACCTCTTAGGTTGAGGGGGGTATTTAGGGATTTAGTAAAGCATAGACAGAAGGAAGCAACTTTTCATAAATCCTATCTTTATCTCTTCTTAGTTTTACTCCATAATAAATTAATCATCATCTTCAACTAATTATGCATAAAATCTATTAAACAGTATCCAACAGTGTACCATTTCCCTTGCCATTGCATCATTCGTTTTCCACTTGTTTTGGTTTTGTTTTTGTTACACAAAATCTAATTGACGTTTCCCTTATACCTCCACCCACACTCCAGTCTGACATTCCCCACCAAACAACCAAACAACAAATCTAGCTTTGGTTTTTGTTCTGTAATTAAAATTCAAATATTGTTTATCTCTGAGAAGTTGTTCGTTCGCTCTCGCATTTTACAAATTCCACTTTTGTGCTTTGGCTTTTGCCTTTGTTTACTTTCATCCAAAATACATTCATACTTTTACGAGTATTATCGTAGGCATTTCGTGCATTCGTTACACTTTTAACCTTGAACTAAGTTGGGGTAGAAATGTTGTTAACAATTGAAGGTTGAAGAGACAGACTAGAGACTATGGAGAGGGGACTATGGTGACTAAAGGTATAGAAATACTTGTAAAAAGCTACTGAAAATCAACTACGAATGCTTATTAAATAATTAAACAAATATTTCCATCCTTTTTATACCTTACGGCAGACTTATATCAAATTATCCCGTACCGCTAGAGCAGTCTCCTCATCCACTGATGTATTTGTAGCCATTAAGTCATGAAATGTTAGCCTAAAATCCACCTGCAGAAGGCGAAGCTGGCAGAGTCTAGAGTCCATAGATGGTATCTTTATGGTGACTAAATGGAAGGAACTTCTTATTAAAATGACTAGAAACCATTGAAGAATATCTATTAAATATTTCTAAATTTCCAACACACTTATCCCGTATCCCCAGATCACTTCTCCTACCCCCTGCTGTATTTTTAGCCATGTAGCCATGAAATTGTTGTCCTAGAACCCTCTCGTAGTGCCGCCAGTTCATTGAGCCTTCCCATTCCAAGTAGTTTCCATTCAGTAGCAGAAAACGTATTTGTGAAAATTGTACATACGTTGTATAGTATTTTTTCATTCGTTTATTTGTTTGTTTATCTAAAAATATTCGCGAAATCAAATAACAAGAAATAGGACACAAGACGGTAAACAATTTTTGTTTGTTTCATTTGTTTTCTTTAAATACTTAAAATATACAAAAATTGTTAAAAATGTATTTTTATAGACGGCTGTTTTGATCAGTTTTTCTCACTACATTGTATGCAAATGAAATTTGTTGTTTTTAAAATATTAAATAATAAAAATGTGTGTTAAAAACAGGCAACTGCTCGGGGTTAGTCCTTTTGAAATTTTAGGATAAATATTATAGCCCTAAAACCATCAGTTCTTTTTGTTTAAAATCCAACGAGCAGTTGCGTTTATTTTTTGTATATGGACAGGACCTCCAACACCACTGCTGCACAAATTCCGTTTTGCTGTTTTTAAAAGAAATACTTAAAACAATTTAGTTCCATTTTTAAAAGCAAATACCACATAGATCTTTGTAGTTAACTAGCCTACAACTAGCATTTCCATTGCATGTTTCGTACATAATATAAAACTAGTTTGTATCATAATTATTTTATGCTAGTTATGAGTTTTATGAGTTCACAAGTGACTACAAATTACTACCAAAAAAAAGCAGAAATAATAATCGAAAAGAGAACTGTTTAATTAATTCAATTCCTTGTCGTCCGTTTTTTTTACGATTTCTTACAATACAAAATAAATATTTGCGTAGCACTCGAAACTTACAGAACTCTGCCTCGAACCCGCTGCTGACTACTGAGTATTATTTGTATCATTAGTTTGATTTTGCACCATAGGCAAAATGATGAAAGAAACTGAATCAATTGTGTTAAAGTTTATGTTGTTGTTCTTTTGAAATTAAGAAACTTGCTGTCGGGATTTGTATTATTTTTGAACATTTTTAAACCCTTTTTGAACATTTTTAAACATATTTTTTACTCCTTTGAACAAAACATTTCTGTTTATGGCATTTTGGACAGCATCATCAATATCTATCGCTAAGCATGATTCAGTTTATTTGGGTTATTCGATGATTGTTTGTGATAATCAAAAATTATAAACTTCAAACAAATAAATCGAACAGAGGCCAGAAAGAAATATTTTAGATATCAACTCAGAGCAGGTTAATTCATACAATATGTTGTACATATATATCGTTATTATGTATATATATCGAATTTATATATCACTGTTGCTGGTTCGCTTTGTGTTGTTGTTGTTACTCGACGCTGCCCTGTGCCGCTGCCTCAGCAGTCTCCGTTTCGAACACATCATCGGACTCCTGGCCCACATAGTCGTGCATCTGCTGCTCGTCTGCCTCCGCTTCCTCGTTCTCGTCATAGTCATCCATATATTCGCCATATTCGGAGGATTCACCAAGCGTCCAGGCGTCGTTTTCCACAGAGTTTCGAGGACTGTAGCCGTGGCCCCCGCCCGTGATAGTCATATTGTTGGTTGGGCGGAGAACACTATGAAGCATAAAGGGATTCGGGATTAGTATTTGTACACAGGGTAATGGATAGTACTATAATTTAGCTGAACTAAATGTAGGTATATATATTTTATACAATTTAATATGCAAACCATTTTTGGGAATGGGTGAATGGGGGTGTAAGTCGAGGTCTAGAGAAAGCGTTTTAATTGTTGTTCTAGAGTATTGTGATTGTTATCTACTGGAGCTTATGGCTTACGAGTGTGAACTGGCTGTTAGTCAGTGTTTAATTATGTATGTTAGGAGTTGTGGTCATGGGTTAGATGTGATGTCAAACAGGACAAACATTTGTACAAGGTTTGTTTTTCTCAGCAATTAACATAACAATTTTTTAGTATTATTAGAGAACAAAATAGATGGCTGACTGGTTAGGAGTTGCAGCAAATATTTTGCAGTTGAATGAGGAATTTTTCGATGTGTTTTAGTCTTAATTTTGTTTAATTTTAAACCCACTTGTTGCATGCCAATTGGAAATCAAACCATGAGAGATTTTTAATGATATTTTGATGCAGTTTTGGTTATTGCTGCAACAGCCAAATAATTATAAATGAAAGCCGCGCACAAGACAAAGAGTAAACTAACGAGAACTGACAGAACAGACAACTTGCTGAAGACAATTGCACAAAAACAGCAACATTAAATGATGAATATTTTATGCATATTTATACAACAAATGTTCTTCTCTTATTACATTTGGCTGGCTGGCAGCGTTGGCTTCGTGGTTTCTTATAGTTCGTTGTTCGTTTTAATTCGATTTCGATTTTTGTTGACTGTTTTCTAAGCACTAGAACTGGCTCTAGTGGTTCCAATCTGTGGCTGGCTGCTGTTTGCTGCTGCTTCTCGCACCCGTTTGAGTGTGTGTTAGATCATGTGGCATGTTGTTTGGTAGTGGAAAGTTTCTTTTTTTTGTTTTTTTTTGGTGGAAAGATAGCTGATTGAATGTGTCTCAAAAGTCGGTAACTAGCACGCCCATCGCTGGTCATAATTGTCCACGGCGATAGTGGGAGCGTGAGGGTCTACCGTTTCGTTGTGTTGTGTGTTGGTTTTGGGTGTTTGGGGGTGTACAGAAATTAAAAGAGAAAGAAATCAATTAGCAAAACGATAATTACAGAAATGTTTAGACTTCGTTTCCTGCATGGTTAGCTTACAGATTTCAAATTTCAGACTTTAAAATCAAAGGCACAAAGGAAAAATCATAATTATTCAGCTAAGGGTGTTTCATGAGAGTTATAATAGTTTATAGATAGATAGTTTGATAGCTATACGTATGTATATTAAGTGACTTTGATTGTGGCTATGGCCGTAAACGCACCTTTACCTCTAGCCGCGATATTACCCACAACCTTAGGCTAATAAAAAGAACCAAAATTAAATAAATGTTACAAAACAAATTGAGATATAAAAGTAACAACAGAGTTCGGCTTAAGCTTAAGTTATAGTTGAAAATATTTTTGAAGAAAGTGAAACTAGGAAACGGAAGCTCTGCCAGAGAGCTATGACTACGCGAAGTGAAATCTAAGATGGCTGTGTGTCATTCCCCTTTCAATTTGAAGCCACAATTGGCACTTCAGTGGACTACGAATGATATATCACTGATGTTGTAGCGCTAAGCTAATAGATTCTTGAATGAACTGAGCGTAGGAAAATGTTTAAACTATGCAAAACTATTATCTCAAGCTATAACTTCATGTATAACACTTTAATGTTTATTCTTTGATACCTTTTAAAGGATTTCTTCAATGACAAAGAGTATCGAGCTGGTTAAAATCGGAGGAAAAGGATTAAAAGACTTCAAAAAGGTTCCTTTAACTCACATCTTTGCCTTAAAAGACTTCAGAGAGACGCTTTCTGTGTCCTTCAATTCAGTATCTTTGCCTTAAAAGTCTCTCTGAAGACGCTTTCTATGTCCCTAAATGAAATTCTTTGCTTTGACTGGCATAAAGTTTTGTCTATTGCCTTGTAAATAATATTTCGCTGAACAAAAGTTAGACTAGAGCTAATGGATAACTAATTCCTAATGAATATAAACTGAACTAGCAAAAGATGATGTCGGCACATTTGAAAGTCTTAAAAAACTTTGGGGTAGTTGCATTCGAGAAGTGTCTTAGATGCCACATTCTAGTAAACTAATTCCTTAAGCAATATTCATGAATATATCTCTTAGATTAGAACCCTAACTATTTCTAGACTAAACGTTTAGAAAACATCAAAATTGTCCATTACAAAAAGTTTCTTTGTGAACAAACTTCTTATATATAAAAATCTCTACCACTCAGGGGGTAACAACTAAGACTAAGAGAGGATTTTAACACCTACAACGATCTCTTCTAGAGCAAAGATCACCCCTTGTACCGCTTGCCACTTGGTGGACCATCTAAATTACCTCTCGAAAGGCGTTTCATCCGCCTCATCGTTCATTTGTTGCTGACTCTGAGACTGGCTCTGTGCACGACGCGCTTCCTCCTTCCTGCGGCGATCCTCGGCTGCTGCTTTCATGGGATCATAAGTGGAGCGACGCTTCCACATGGCCATCTCGGCCTCCTTTTGTTTGTTAGCTGCAGGATGGATAGATTTTGATCAGTATTTATTGAAGGAGATTGCTACAATTCCAACCACTAACCTGAGGCATCGCGTCGTGCAGCGGATGAGGCGCGGGTGCCGCCACCCAGGGACGTTGTGCTCGTATTCATGGCGGAGACATTGCTTCTGACGCTGCGATTGCTGGCACGTGTGCCCTCGCCACGACTGAGGCCCATGGAGCTGGCACTGGGACTGCGTTTCATCTGATCCGCCGGCTTCAGCGTGCTCTTGGCATCGTTCTTGCGCAGAAAACTGTTGGACTGCGCCGGCTTGTACTTGGATATGTCCATGTACTTGGGCTGCACGCGCTGCTCCCTGCTGGCATTGGCCGTTTGCAGCAGCTGCTTCTTGGCATTGGCCAGAGAGCTGGGCACCTGCTGGGCCAAGCGACTCAAGCTCGTCTCGCGTGGCATGGATTGGCGCGTTTTGGGCGCCGATCCTGGAGCTGCTCTCGAGGCACTTCTGATGCCACGTCGCGGCAGCTCGGGAGTGTTGGGACATGCCACGAGGCCTGCGCCTGTCTGCGCTGCGTTTAGCTTTCCCGCTGGCGCTGAGGAGGGTTTGGCTTGCGTTTGTCCCGCTCCCGCCACACGCTGCTTACTCCGTTCAATGCGCATCAGCAGCGCCTTGTTCATGCGCGTATTGGTCAACGGCACGGAACCCTGGGACTGCTCCACTTCGTCCTCCTCCTCGTTGCTGGAGTAGTAGGCGCCGGTGGTGCCCAGCTCATCCTCATCGTTGATGTAGTACTGCAGCTCGTTGTCATAGTCGCTGTACGCCTGATCAAAGTTGTTGCTGCTCGCGGACTTCTTCAGCTGCTGGACCATGCTCAGCGCATGGGCGTGACGTGCCGCGGGCGGTGTGTACAAGTTCTGAAAGTTGGGACGTGCCTGCCGCACGGGATGCTGGCTCTGTCCCTGCTGCTGCTGCTGCTGCTGAAAGCTGCTCGAACGACGCAGCGGCGACAACGGGGCAGCCGCCTCGGGAGGCGCCTTCTCGTAATCGTACAAATGCTCCACGTGCTCCACATCGTCCAGTGAGTTCTTGCGGCGCCGCAGCTGCTTGAGCAGATACTCTCCGCTGGTCAACAGCTGCAGCTGCGCCTCGTTGATGCTGCTGGTCATGAGCGCTCGATGCAGCGGCGATCTGCGATAGCCACCGCCCGCTCCTGCCTCCAGGCTATGCTGCGGACTGCTCTGCGCCGGTGACTTGACGGAGCTCCTGCGCGACAGCGACTGCTGCAGATTGCTGATGGCCGCCGCCGTTTGCTCCAGATAGGCATCGGTCTGTGGCCGTGAGCGACTGGCACTGCGCGTACGTCCCAGCGTGTGCAACGGCGAGGGTATCTTGCTGGGACTCTTGGGTGGCTTATACGGCGGCTCCACCGCCTGTCCTCCTCCTCCGTGACTGCACAACGCCGGATCGCTGGCGTAGTCACAGTCGCCCAACAGCCGGTAGCGCTCCGCTAGACCCCGATTTAGCTTGGCGGCGGCCGCATACTGCCGCTGCTGATTGTACAAACTGAGGCTGTCGTCGGTCAGCGAGTCCCCGCCAGTGTCCGAGCAGTTGTAGCTTCGTGTCATCAGTTTCTGTGAGGGTGGAGACAAGGAGAGTGTTAATTAGGGTTTGTTTGGGGGTGAGAACTGATGTAGCCCAAGGGTTTACAGGCGTAGGAAGAGACTGGGAAACTCTAAGAATATTGTTGGGCATGGAAAATCCTTTGTAGCTATAGAAAACTCAGACATTCGGCCAAAAAGATAACCTACATTAATATGTTTTTATATTTTCAGCATCTACAATATCTACATGGCGACAACTTCGACTCTTAGATGCATTCGACTCTACTTTCGGTAAGTCTTTTTTCGTTAAACCTTCCAACAATTAATCTATGCATCATTTCTGATATATTTAATGCTGCACACACTTAAATTTTGTTGCATCTCTGGCCTATCTATTGCTACAAGCCGCTGGCCGGCTTTCCCAGTACATTTTACACAATTCTTACATGGGAATTTACATGGGTTCGTGTCTCTGCTAAGGGTGAATTTACATGAAAAGGCAAATTCTTTTGGGGCAGCTTCAACAATTCCGGAAAATGGATCTGAAATTCCGGAAAATTATCTGTGGAAATTTCTACATTTATGGTAATTTTTGCTAGGAAAACTTTTGGTACGAAATTAGTTCTAATTAATTTTTAGGCATGGAAATATGACTTTCAATCAAATCGAATGATTGCGATTAGCTACTCATTATTGAATATGTGCTGCAGCTAATGCATTAGTAGCTACACGATGATTACAATCTATTTGCTGTTTATTTTTCATCATTAAAAGTGAATCAGCCTCTCTATGGACTCGTCGATTTTTAGAACATTTGTAGACCTGAGGCAGTTAGGAAATATTAAGCACTTAATCAGTGTCAAAGTTGAAGCCAAATAAATGTAAATGTAAGCCGCGTTATTGATGATTGAAACCTGTCCAAAAGTTAGGCAAAAAAACTAAATTCTTCGCGACAATTAATCAAGGGATAATCTCCATAGATGTTCTCCTCCAATTTCTCTACGAATTTCTCCTCAAATTTCTCTGTTTTTGCCTCCGCTCACCTGTGCTTGTGCCTGCGCTTGGGCCTGCTGTTGCCGTCGACTAGCGCTGGTGCCACTCACATCCTGCGCCAGGCTGCGTGCCCGTGCATTCCTCGCCCATTCCTGTATCCAATCCTGCTTCGTCTGCGCCGTTTGCATCAGAGCCGTGTCCGAGGTCTGTGTGGGCGTGGGCGGTGTCTCTGGCAGTTGATGTTTCTGCTGCTGATGCTGATGATGTGGTGCCTGTTGTTGTGTGGTGCTGGTGGTGAACACATTGAGGCGATATTCGGCCTTTTGCCGATCTGTGGCCGAGCCGGACAGCGCTTGAGTGTGCCTCAGCTTGGCCTCGTTGCTGACATACTCGGAGCTATCGATCTGGGAGGTGGACAGACTGTGGCTGTGGCTATGACGCGTCAGCTTGTTGGGATGCGTGTCCAGTGCCCGCTGCTTGGCCAGCACTCCGCTGGTGGTGACGCTGGTGAAGCAGCCCACATCCGCAGCCGGCGAGGGTGGAGTCGGGGGAGACAGTGGCGCCTGCTGCCGCAGCACGCGACTCTTCAACTGATCCAAGTACGCGCCCGTGCTGCTCTTCTGTGTCTGCGATTGCTTCTGCTGCTGCGTTGGATGCTCCTGCAGCGGTGTCTCGTGGTAGAAGTTCACTTCCAGCACATTGCTGCCACGATTTGACTTCACTGGCAGCTGCTTGGGTCGCATTTTGACGCCCGTTGCGGCTTCTGCTGCTGCGGCTGCGGCTGCGGCTTTGGCTGCCGCTGCTGCTGCATTGCGATCGATATTCATGAGATCCTTCTGCTCCTCCGTGTAGTTGTCGCCGTCCAGCGTGTAGGTGCCCGCCTCGCTGACAGCATCCTCCGACAGCGACTTGCCATCGGCCAGCGGTGGCTGCGGGCACAGCATCTCCACCTGCCGCAGTGCCAGCTGCATGGCGGTGGATCGTGGCGTAAACTGATTGGCGGTGCGATTGGCCACCAAATTGGCGGCTCCTTTGGTTCCCTTCGCAGAGGCCACTAAATTGGCGGCTCCCTTGTTCGCAGCTGGCGGTGGCAGCTTCGATCTGCTCGCTGCACGATTCGTGGGCGCTGGCGCGGGTTCGGGTGCGCTGGTCCCTGAGCTGCGTGGCGACCAGCTGTGCCGCTTGGAGGCATCTCGCACCCGTGAGGCACTTCGCTCCCGCACGCGCAGTCGCACCTGCGGCGCCTGCTCGGAGCTGGGCGTGTCGTCGGCCATGCTGCTGCCGGCATCCAGGCTGCTCCGCTGCGATTGCCGCCCGCCGCTGTTCGTGCCCGTCGTTGTGGTGGCAACATTCTCCGTCTCAAGCTTGGACATGGATGCCCCACGCTTGTGGCGATTCTGGAAGCGTTCCATCATGTTCTTGTAGCGTGCCGCCTGTGCCGCGGCATCGTTCTCCGAGGCCTCAAAGTGGTCTATGGTGAAGGCTAGCGCCTGCTTTGTGGCAGTCGTCGTTGAGTTGGATTCGGTTGAGTTGTCTTCCTCCTCGGCCTCACCAGCGATCACTCTGTTGTTGCCGATCTGCTGCTTCTGATGGTTCGCTCTGCTCTGTGCTGCCGCCGCTACATTGTTCCGGGGAGAGAATCAGACCAGAGGCAGACACAAACAATTTAATTAGCATTTAATTGATGAATGATGAATTTTATTACAACTTAAGAGTGGTGAAAACGAAACTAAGCGGCACAGACTGCAAGATTAAGCGGAGCTCCATGCAACATTAAGTGGCAAGAGCAACAAAGAAGAGAGAGAGAGAGAGAGAAACAGTGGGGAGATTGTGGTGCGCAGCAAAGAAGTTGAGAAAAACCAGGAACGGTTCTTTTTACGCGAGGGTTGGGCGCCGCATTGAGTTCATTTCTGCTTTTGGGGAAGGTTAAAAATATTTGAGAAATATGTTTGAGAATAACTAAACAACCATCAAACATAAAAGTAGAACTTAAGCCAGTTCTCAGTCCTTTAAAACCCCTTTAATTTGGTTTAACACCTCTTAAGCGACATGCGATTATAATGAAAGTCAAAAGACCCATAGAAAATGTTTGCATATAAATAAATAACCAAAAACCAGAGATGTTTGCTGCTGTTTGTGAGAGTTGTAACTATTATGAAGGAATATTTCGATTTGTGGCAGCAGAAAGCAATAAAATTTCCAGTTTCCAGAGACAATAAATAAGAAATCAATGAGCTTAAAGGGAAATAAATTTCCTATTAGCAATATAAAAACCTTTTCCCTATTTGCACACATCTTCTATATAAGAACAGTTCCAATTAAATTAGATATATCCAATTTAGAACCCCTTTAGCACCATTTAAGTTCCACTTGTAATTATTTAACTCTCTTTATGGGCAGCATAAACTCAGCTAGAAACAGAAACCGAAAGAAACACCCCAGATGGACAATGCTTTCGTTCTGAAGTTCATCTGATAGTAAAAGAAAAAGCGAACGAACGCCCACCTGCGGGCCCAAACCCAACCTCAACGATCCCCCACTGCTTCCGTTCAGTAAATTTCTATACATTTCCGCGGCAAAAGCTGCAGCAAAGAAGAAAATCAAACAATTTGCTTTCAGGTTTTGCCACGCCAAGTGGCACACAGCACACAGCGAAACGAGGTAGCAACCATCTAGGGGGCCGACTCTCAGGCTTGCTGTCCGTACGTGTCCGTCTGCGGGAATACTCATATGTAGGGCTGCCCCCCAAGTGAAGGTTAGAGTTCGCTGATTTCGGTCAATTGTAGGTTTCGACTTGTACGAGTAAGGGTGAGGGGTGAGGGGTGAGGGACAGGGGTGTGTGGCGGGAAACAAAACAAAAGTTTTATTCACGCTCTGGCAAACTTTTGAGCTCCGCTTTTGCAGGTGGCTTCCGTTTCGTTTGAAACAGTTTTTGGTATGCCACGAAATGGAAATATTTGGAACATGTCCATGTTCATTTTCAACAATCAATTTCACAATCTTCACAATCGTATGTTGTGTGTTGTGTTTTGTGTGTGTGTTTCCGTCCGTCAAGTTTCTAGTCACGAAAATATCAATAACCATATTCGGACACACCATAATTATAATTGTTAATTTGTTGCGAATAATCAGGGTAATCCAAATATGGCATTTTGGCCATTATTCCATCAAGTAGATGATCGGCCAGCAAAGCGTACAGCCAAGGTGCTAATGTCATAATTATTGCTTAAGTGAGAGTGAGGAAAATAATTCTCAAATCATCAATATATATATTATTTGGCATATTCATTATCAATTTAATGTTAGTGATTCAATAGCCTTCAACAATTTATATGCTTTTTTGTAGCCAATATTGTTTTGACCATGGGCTGCCAAACGGCTTGAACGAGTGCTTGAAAAGTATGCAAACAATCACAGAAACTGACCGAAAGCATATTGAAGTATTAATGACACACAATTATGCCTCTAATAAACCCACTTTTCCTTTTGCAATGAAGTAATTTTTAGTTTTAGTTGTATGCCTCCAAAAAACATAAAATGGATGTACAAAAAGGTTTTACAATTGGCTGTTGAAAGCCTCTATTAAATCATTAAATGAATTGTAGCCTCAAATAAGATTCTTGGATATTAATCTGCGCCTTAGCATTGAACAAAAATTGCCTTAAATTAATTAGTTTTACTTGAAGCTCAGCTCAGGCTCTGAGTCATCATTTTGATGGGTGTGCAGTTGAGCATTTGAATCTATTTACTATCGGTTCGTCGTAGATATGTGGCTAGAATTATTGCCGGTAAATATTGCCAATTGGAAGGAATTTAGCACTGCATTCGAGGCACTTCGATGGAAAGAAATTATGAATAATAATCTTGAAATAGCCAAAGATTACAACTGGTTTTAGAACACAATCAAAGACATTTTTTCAGTCCAAATAACATTCAAAATATGTGATTGCAAGATGCATCTAAAATCATACATAATTTCCTCAACGAACCTCCTTTATGCCTTCGATTACCAAGACTCTTTTAACTCCGATTTCCTTACGAAAAGTAGAACGACATTCATTATGCGCTTGTTAGATCACAAAATTTGCAATCTAATTTGGCAGGAAATACGTATGGAGTCGATTGGTACAATGGTAAAGTACAGTTACACCCCAAGAGCAGCAATCACCGATAGACAATAGACCGCAATGGGTGAACGACTAACGGTAATTACGCTGCCCACTGTGCATGGTCTTTGCAGTCGAGTTATCGCTGTCCTCTCCTCTCTGTTGCCCAAGCAGCAACAACAATTGAACAACTGTTGGGCACAAAACTTCGTACACAAAATGTCGAGTGTTATTACTGCGAGTATTATTATTATTATTATTATTGCTGTTGGCCATTGCCGCTGTCTGTCCGTATTGCGAAGTGGCGTGGCTCGTTCCGAGCCTTTTGTTGAGGTTTTATTTTGTTTGCCGCTTTGTGCATTGCTTTTACTTTTGTTTGCAATAAATAAAGCAAAACATAGTCGTAGGGCAATACGTCTTTTTTTTGTGATATTATTCGCTTAGCTATTTTGTAGCCGTTTTGGAAAGTGGCGACTGTGAGTTCCGACCGAATGACCGCCCGCCGCCTTTTCCATCGTTTACCCTTTTTTTTTTGTTTAATTTCCGAATGCAGCTCTGTGGTAATCGCCGAGCAGTTCGATAACAATTTCACACGCTGCTAATCGTAGGGGCAAACACATGTTCGTTCCAATTGGTTTCTAATTAGGTTTGCTAATTGCATTGCGTCATGCGCTCGGCCCGACCTCTGCACCAAATCATAAAGATTTTGCTACGATTTTCAGTTCCACTTTTTGGTTGTGATTTTTGTGGGCCTGTTAAAAATCAATCGCTTAATGAATTAACTTTTCACATTTAAATAAATGTTAAATGTTATTTGGTTTTTGTATATTTATGTCTGTTCCGCTGACACCGGAGAAAGCGTCCCCGTCCCTCCACCGATCACCATCATCATCTGTCATCTCTGAATGAGGTCATCGGACTTGGACTCGCGGTGGTCTTTGTGTCGTGATTATTGTTATCGATGATTGTTTTGCTGATGACGCTATTGGTTTCTGCGTTTCACTATACACTTGAGATCTGTCTCGAGTGCTCTAGAATATTGTTGGAGAGTGTTTCAATGAGCTCTGCCACAGTCTGACAGAGACATCTCTACATAAATGTTAAAAAAAATAGCACGTGTCCATGGAATTTAGACCTACATCCCACACAACTTCCAATCAAATTTAATTATAGAAATTTATACTTTTTATTTATATTTTGAGACACTCTTTATGTATATTTTGCGTGACACCTTAACAAAATTCTTGAAATATTTCTGCACATTTCCCAAGACATTCCCTGTTGGAGAGGAATCCCAATTCAATAATAAATTTTGATCAACCAATTAAGCCTGCCCAAAACATTATTCTATTTGTTCGCAAGGCCAGGCCACAGCGGAGGGATTGCTTTTCCCCCTCAACCATTGGAGGTTTGCCAAGAATTAATGTTTCACATTTATAAAGATTTGGTTCTAAGAGAAAACAAAAACAAAATATATTATAGTATATTTAAAGGTTTTGTGTGTACTTTGGCAGCGAGCAATTGGGGAATCATAAAAAGATAAAAAGAGTTAAGAAAGCTACCGATAAACGATCAAAACTGAAGAGTTGAACAAAGGTTCTTGTGGATATTCGTTTATTGGCGTTGACTCGTAGACTGAGGCAAAGAAATCTACAAAGTGACAGCCAAATTCCAATTTGATTTGAATGTTTCCCCAAAGAACAAAGACACTCATAGATATCCCTCTTTCAGCTGGTAAACATTCCCCTACACTGAATCATTTGTGCCTCCCTGCATGACATAATCCACATTGGTTCACTTTTTGTGTCCCATATTGTCAGCGGTACACGTACTTCAAGGCAGCAGCAGGCACCTCTACGATCACCTCTGGCCCGCTCCGATTTGTTTCACATAAATCTTTGAGTGTGTCTCTCTCGTTTTTTTATCAGTTGAGGTTTATTTTCTTGTTTTGCGCTTGCCAAATCTTACACAATTTCAGGCATTATCTCATAGCAAACATTTTCATTCCATTATTCCATGCACGCAAAAAACAAGATTTGTGCGGGACTGCCTGTCGCTGGTTGTTGATGACTCAGCCAGCAGCAGACTGCTGGTCGTTGATCGTTGTTCATTGATCGATGGGAGGTTACTGAGATACAGACACGCTGCCTGTTGCAGTCTTATAAATATTAACACACAAATATTTAATTGCAAAACAAAGAAAAGCTGGCAAATTTCAATGTATACAAATGTGCCCATGAGCGCGGGCAATCTGCTCAGTATTCAAATTCCTTTTCGTTTTATGTTTTTAACCAAATTATGGAAATTGTTTACCTTAACAGGCGCGGCTGGGATATATTTGTGTTTCTTTATTGCAGCGTTGCCTGTTTAAGGATGTGTTGTGGATGCATTTGCAAGTGATTTTGGCACTCGTTGAATTTTGCACACAAGGAAATAATGGTACAGAAACTGCCCCAAAAGAGAGTGGGAATACGTTGGAGATTTGGCAGAGAACGAACTAGATGAGCTCATGCACAATTTTAGCCAGTTGGTAGAGCTACAAAAGAAAGCCATGGAACACCTTTTCTAGTAGAAGTAGAGACAGAGGTAGATTTCACGTGGAATCAGCTTGATTATATCATGGAAAATCGGAGTGTCCATATGTGCGCTTTTTCTTTCTCTGAAACAACTATTTTGTAGCTCTGCGGAGTGGTTTCTTCTACTGTAGAAATAAAGTTCTGGATATACAGGTGCTTTTTGATAGTAAAATGATTCTTTAAGTAAACATCTATGGGTTCTGAATGCTCATAGTTGATTATCCATAAATACGAGAATTCTTTGGGCAAATATTTATTAAAACGAATTCCTTTCCTTCCCCAGTGGAGTTTCCTTTCACTATAAAGTTTTCTTCTAGCACATTTCTGATTCTTCATTCACTCATGAGAGCAGTGTCCCTCGAGCGAGCTTTCTTGTTGTAAAACTCCTTTACTTTTGCCTCCAAAAATGCCATAAATTCTCATTAAAATGAAAATAAAAAGCGCACAGCTGATGTCACTTGGCTGTGCGGCGAAGGCCGTTGATCCCATGCCACACTCTCCCTACACCAGAAACCAGAATTTGTGCCACTGTGCAACACACAACAAACACACACCACACACACACACACACACCTAGACAGAGCAAGGTGTGTGGCAGCAGCAGCGGCATGACTAGTGCAATAAATATTTGTGGCCAAAATAACTTCATTAAAAATTCAAATTAAAAACTAAAAAAAAGAAACAAAACAACAACAAAAACATGCGTCAAATTAGCCAATTGTCAAAAGTGGTTTTTGTTGTTGTTTTTTGTTGCTTCTTCTTTCATTTTGCTTACCTTTTTCGGCCGGCGATGGCGGCGGCTTGCCAAGACAGAACTTGCCGCTTGACTCATCGATGGCAGCGCCCAGGCCCACAAAGCCCGGATTCACCTGACTCAGCAGCTGATGGCGGGGCGATGGATGCTGCGACTGCGCTTGGGGCGTGGCCGGTGCAGAGACAACTTTATCGACAGACTGGTCCATGATCTCGGCTATTTTCTTGATGTTTTCGGGCGTGGTGTCGGCCTTCTCGCGTCCGTCAGAGCTGTTGCCGTCGTCGTCGCTGTATCGGCCACCAATGTGCAGGGTATCCCTGCTCTTGTCCTTGACTCTCGATGATTCAACTGCACCAGCCACGCCTGCTACTCCTCCATGGGTTGCGCCACCGATTGCTGCTGCCGCTGCTGCTGCATTTCCTGCTCCAGCTCCAGCTCCAGCTGCTGCCGCTGCTGCGGTTGTGGTTGTCGTTGTGTCATTTGCGTATGATGTCATTCTGTGCTAACGCTAGCGATGCTTCAAACAGGAGACTCTCAGGTTTTGCTCTCTAACGGATTGTATGACGGGTTAACGCCTATTTTTTGCCCGGTTTGCTCCTTTTTAATTAGTTAATTCATTAGCGTCTCATGCCTGTGCCGCTTTCCGGTCTACACCTGCTCCAGTGTACGGTGCGTGGCGTGCCACGTCTGCTACTCCATGCTGCCACCACCACCAGATTGTTGTGCGTGGGCGTAGGGGTGCGGGGACTCCAGCGAATTCCTGAACGTAGTTGTTGCCTTTTGAACAGGAGATTTACAGAGAGTTACATAAATGCAAGCACACAATTCCACACAGGATGCAACCGTCGCGGAATATTAACGAGTGGAAGGTGCACCACGAGCTGTGTATTTCCAATTGTTCTCGAGAACAATTTTCCGATTGGAAAAACTATTTAGAACCAAGCGGCAGGCATTTCACACACACGAAAATAGCCGCCGAAAGCGAAAAGCCAAAAGAGCGCTGCCCGCTTGTCGATGCTTTTTTGGTGCCTTTTCAAGGTTGCCTTTTGTTTTAAAAACTTAATCGAATGTTTATTTTTACATTGAACAATTTTGGAAGCAAAGGCACGCACCGCACGGACACACGAACACACGCACACACGCACACACACACACACACACACACACTCACGAATTCAAGGGCAGCGTCCGCGCTCGCACTTTTTTTTCACTTTTAATTTTCACTCTTCTTTTCAGTTTGGCTTATTTTGTTGCATTTGATAATGAACTTTTTGGCTTTTGTCTTTGTTTTTCACTTTTCCCATTCGCGATTCTCGAGACACGCGCTCGTCTGTCCGGCCAAAAGCTTACTCACGCTAATACAGTTAGGACTGAAAAGAAACGGCGTCAGAAAGAGTCACAGACAACAAAACGTCGCTGTGGCTGGGGCTGTGGCAGTGTGTGTGTGTGCGTGTGATGGCCAAAAGTGCAGAGAGAGATGGAGAGACAGGTGAGAGGAAGCGAGAGCACACGACAAGGTGCAGAGAGCGAACAGCAAACAGCTGTGGTTGCCAGCACTCTTTAGAGTTGTCGAGCAGTCAAGTGCATTGGGAATTCTACCAAAAAAACAAACACAACAGGGGCCACAAAAGTGGTGAGATATTTTTGGAATGTTAAATAGTATTAAAAGGGATTTCTTACTGTTCATAAAACCTACTAAATAATACGTAATTCGGGAATTAAAAACAGAATTTAAGCTAAACAGTCTGGCAGCACGAATCCCTCTCATTTCTGCTCTCCCTCTCTTACTGCGCTCTCAAAAATCAGCGTTGTTTTGGCTAGAAACTTCCATCTAATAGAAGAGAATTAACCCACTGATAGTTGCAAGACGAATAGAGTTCACAGAACGAATGCATATTCATGAACATATAAACTTAAAACATGCAAGCGAAAGGCAACGGCAAATTCACGCTCGAGTAAGCATTGCACTCGACAGGTGGTGGCCTTCGGTTGGCGTCGCTACGCTATTTATAATCCAAACACTTGTACGCGCCGCTCTTACTTGCCACTCGAGAACAGGTGTAATATTCAAAAACAATTTCAGTCAAGTTATTAAAGAATGATTGAGAGAGGAATTTTAAATCCACGGCAGAAACAAGAACAATTGCCGCGCAAATGATAAGAGAGAGCAAAGAATGCGCGCGCTTCTCTCTCTCTGTCTCGCCCGTTTTTGCTTCCTACTCCCCTCTCACACAACTGTATTTTGTATTGGCATTTGCTGGGCCCATGAATTTTTTTCTTCTTTCAACGCCCCTCTGTGCACTTGTTCATTGTTGACTCTGCCACTTCACATTCTTCACTCTTTTCAACTTTAATTGGTTTAATTTTTGTATGCTAGAGCATTTTCCCGTTCAAACTTTATTTTTGCACAATACACATTATAAAATAATTAATTTACTTGCTGCAAGAAGCGCGAAATGAAACGACAGGAATTGCAGGTTTTGGGTTTTTTGTTGTGCCAATCAGAAAGAGTAGAGAGAGGGCGAGAGAGCGAGAGTCTCAGTGTCATTGTCGTTCTCTGGCGCAGTGCTGCCAGTGTTTTTTGCGATATATCTGTATGGCAGGTATCGATGTTTATAGCTTGTGTTTGTTGTTTTCGACTGACAGGGTTGATGTAGCGATTAATGTGCGCGCGGCATTCAAATCTATTTTGCTAAGTTATGCATTTGGTTTTTGTTTTAAAATTGCATTTATTCATACACAATTACGTTTATATGGATGTGTTTTACATATATAGTTATGCATTGCCAATCTTTGTCGTTTTCCCGGCTTACAGAACTTACAAAACTAATAAAATAAAGCGAAGAAACGAAAAATCTGCCGGTTCGGCCTTGACGTCACGCTAACTTTGACTTATCGTTATTACTATATTATCGGATATATAGTCTGGGATGTGTGTGTGTGTGTAGTGTGTGGGGTAAAAGCTTTATCGCGTCTCGTCTCGAAACTGTACAGAAACTCAACTGATAAGCGACTTGGGAACGTACACAGATAAATACTCTTGGACTGGACATATACTGGGATCGCGGCAATGTGTTACCTTAGCGCCCATTCCAATAGCAAACGTGTCCATTCTCGAATGCTAGATTAATGCGCGGATGTGGCAGTGGCCGTGCTGCCTGCAGCGGTTCCAGCAGCTCCTGTGGCGTCGCTGTATCCTCCTCAAAGTACAGGCACTGCCGCACAAACTCGAGGAACAGCGCGCGGGTTTGCTGCGCAGAGGCGGAAAGGGCCTCCAGGTTCGAGTCGCTGCACAGCCCGTGCACGAGATGCTCGCAGATCCGCGTGTTGGTGTCCACATCGAAGAGTGGGACTCCAAAATTCACATCCAGCAGGGTCCACTCCTCGGTGCTGGCTTCTGGCTCGCCAGCGCCATCCTCCAGGGGTATCTCCACGGAGCTTTGCGAGAGCAGTTCCGCGCGACTCTGACTGCATTTGGCTAGTTCGCTAGCCAGCACCTGGCTGCAATCGGGCGACGTAAACTCATTGGCTGGTCCATGCTCTGGGGTGGCTGCAAAATGATTCTCGTCGGGAGACTTGAGCTGATAGCTGGTCAGCTCTGTGGCGGGTGTTGCCGCCTCACTGTTTGGCACTTGATTGCTGAGCTTGTTGGCTGGCAGCGAGGAGCGTTTACGCTGCGGCGGCTTCAGCCTCACCTGCAGCTCGTACTCCTCGCAGCCGAGATCGGGCACGCCCGTGTTCAGGAATGTGATGTAGCCGCACTGCTGGCGCAGATCCAGCAGCGCGTTCAGCTTTTGCACGGCCCTGTGTGCCGCCCACTTGACTTGTCGCCCATCTGTGGGCTGGAATGGAAATGATTCGTAGTGCAGGGCGCCGGCAGAGCGTATGCCATAGCCTTGCAGCAGCACGCAGCCGTTCTTCAGCTGCTCATTTATGTTGCGAAAGCTCTCGGAGTTCAGCACGTACGCATCCGAGTGCAGAATGTTGACCAGCAGCTTGCCATAGCCCAGAAAGAGGCGCGGGAGGGACTTCAACACAGTGCCGCGGCACAGCAGCAAGCTGGGCGGACCATAGCCTGTGGATGAAGAGTTAATTAATGCCAATCAATTGCTATTTGTTTGTGCCCCACCTGTGATATGATTGAAAAACAACTTGCACCACATGGGCGCCACATCGGAGCTGCGCAGAAATTGCCCAAAAAATGGAATGCTGAAAGTGTGACTCAGCGCTGCCGTCAGCGGTGAGGCGGAAATGATAAACTTGTACTTCTTCTCCAGCACACGATCGCGCGTCTGTCTGTCCAAGCCCTCAAGGCACTCGAGTCGCAGCAGATCCAGTCCACCCGGCAGCAAATGGCGCAGCGAGCAGATGGTTGAGCGTAGGATCACGGCATGCGCAAAGTACCTGGAGACATCGCCCTCACCCTCAGCATCCAGCAGCGAGACTTGCTCCAGTTCGGTCAGAAAACTGTCCATGCTCTCCTCGCAGAGTTTGCCCACCTCGAACATGGTCACCGCGTGGTTCTTCAGCCCAGGCGACAGGTTGCCCATCATCAGAAAGGCGGTGAGCGTGGAGTCAAAGAGGAAACCCACGCGCTTGCCGCTCTTGGGCGGAGCCACTGGGGCTGCTGTTTTGGAATGTGTTTTTGTGGTGCGTTCGCTGACATCCTCCAGCTCGGAGCTGAGCTCCTGCTCGTCGGGGCCCGTGGGTGTGGTGTTCAAGTTGGCAAAACTAAAATCGCTCGTGTTCCCATCCGAGGAGAGGTAACCAATGGAGCTGCTGTCCTTGTCCCGCGTCTTCGGGGACTTGGGACTCGGCTGCTCAAACTCAAAGCTGCCCGCATGCGGATTGTAATTGAGCGGCGTTATCTGTGGCGTCTCTGGCTGCTGCTGCAGATTGTAACCCTCCCAGCTGGCATGATTTGGCGGCTGCTCCTGCTCCTGCTTGCGATGTGCGAAGCCCAAGCGGCAGATAAAGGAAATTGCCTGCTTCACGCAGTCCAGCTCCAGCTGCAGCATGTGCGCGAGCTCAGCGATGGTCATGTGCTCGTCGGTGCTCACAAAGATCTTGTACAGCAGATTCTCAAAGTAGTCCCCACTGACGCGATTCATGACAAAGTTGCGCAAGGGAGGAATGGAAATGCGATCCTCGCCGCAGATGGGAACGTCCAAATAGATGAGACCCTTGCGGTAGAGACTGTGCACCACATTGTAGTCACATTTGCCCGCTGGCTGGGCACCAAAATCGATCAGATCATCGAGCAAACTGCGCTCCGGCGGGCTGACGTAGCGTATGTCCGACTCCAGCACGTAGCCAATGTCGAGGCGCCACCAGGGCTCGATGTGCACCAGCACGGGAAAGCGTGGCAGAAAGTCCTGCGGATTGGGCTTGGCCCTGAACATCAGCGTGCGTGTGGTGTGTGTCTTGAGGTCGCTTATCAGCGCCAGATACTCGTTCCGGCCAATGCCCAGCACGCGCAGACAGTCGGCGGCCGTGAAGTTGGGCAGCGTGTCGTAGCTTTTGTCGCTGCGCAGCAGCTGGCTGAGCACATCCAGATAGTAGTTGAAGGGTGTCACACGCAGTCCCTTGGTCACAATGTCCGCCAGGTGGTAGGGAAAGACGCCCAGCCCGTTGATGTTCTTCTGGATGAGCAGCTCGTAGTAGCGCTGCTCCTGGCCGAACACCTTGGAGGCCAGGTTGCCGCGATAGCGCAGCTGATTCTTCAGGCTGTAGTTGAACACAAACTTCTCGTAGTCGCGCTGATTGTTGTGCAGCACGGATCTCAGGTGCACGGGCAGCTGCTGCCATGACACATTTCCACGCACGCACAGCTGCAGTTGGGCCTGGCAATTGCTGTTGCTGCCGCTGCCTCCCCCACCATTGGCACCCATCTCGTCTTTCTCCGTCATCTTGTGTAGATTAAGTCATTCCATGGCAATAAACTTAACAATTCTCGTCACTGGGGGTGGTACTCTCTGCTTTTCGTCGCTTTTCCTTGCTTTCCGTTGCGTTTTATTTTTTATTTTCCTTGGTAGTAAGAAGAAGAAGGAACCCGACAGCTGATAAAAACCGTCTAACTGCGTTGTTTGGCAAGTCTGCCGATAGGATTTGTGTGTGGAAAATATCATTTTGAGGGTAGTCTCTTTGTAATATTTCAAAATTTCTAATAATACAATGCTCTTTGGATACACTTGCATAATTTGTGCATGTAAATAATATATTTCTTCAATCGATAACAAAGTGCTGCTTGCTACTCCCCATCGGCAAAGCCATATTCGATAAGTCGATAGTCTTGGCGGGCGACTGACATCTGTGTTTTCCAACACAGCTGCACGCGTTGTGAAACACTTGGCGCTGATGATTTTCAATATTGCTTCTTGGCCCCATCGACTTATAAACACACTTTAGTCTTTCAGTTAAAAGTCAAAATTCGTAGGCTTATTTATGTTGTGAAAAGTGAAAACTGTGAAAAGAGGCACAACAGTTAATTTTCCAATGCCCCGCAAGCCGAGGCAGCGTGTCGGGAACGAGGTCAAAGCACACAATTCGAGCAGAGCAGCAGCGAGCGGAGGACAGGGACCTCAGCATCGATTTTTTTGCACCCTTTTTTGTGCTTAATTTCGCATCGAATTTTAGCACACAAAGAGACGTCGCGCAGGTAGCACGCAACCCGAAGAAGAGATCACAGAAACGAAACGAAACGTAGGAAAAATTTAGTGGAACGTTCAGCCGAATCGCAGAATGAGCGGCGGCAGTGGGGAGGAACGCGAACAGCCACGGCAAACTTCGCCGTTGCCTGGCGTCTCAAGGTGAGTTGTGTGCGATGCGACCATGCCAGACCCCATTTGACTGTTCAATTTCCTCTTTGTCTGTCGCCTGTCGTTTGCAGCAGCGCATCGACATCTGCCTCGACGGGGCCCGGTGGGCGGGCCACACCGGAGATGAAACGCTCGGCAGTGCGCAGCCTCATTCAGCGTTATTTCCACCAGTTGCAGTCCGGCTGCGGCAATGCGGCCTGCACCAATGATAACTGTGCATCCAGCGGCAAGGTGGCACCCATGACGCCCAACGAGGTGGCAGCACGGGCACTACAGTTATTCTCACAGGACGCACAGCTGTGCGAGAGCCTGGGACAAGCGGAGGCGGAAGCGTCACACTCGGTGGCTCCCGTGTCTGTCATCAGGTAGGATCGTCAAATTTAGTTGCTTGTTCCACCTAATCCGTTCCTCACCCGACAGCACTCTCGATATCGACATGCTCTCACCCAACGACAGCAGCAGCAGCAGCAACAGTAGCAGCAGCAGTAGCAACAGCTCCACTAGCACCATTACCTCCGCCAGCACCACAACAACAACCAGCACACAATCGCAGAGCGTGCCGGCCCCCAAATCGGTTTCAGTTCCCGGTCCAAGTGCAAGTTCAAGCGCGAGAGCTACGCCACCTGCAGCCGCACCCATCACATCCTCCGCCTCCTCGTCTGGCGCGTGCACAACAAATCTGTCGGAAGTCAAGTCGCTGGAGGCCAGCTGTCTGATATCGCTGTACGAGGAGTGCGTCAAAAAGGACAGCTACGACAAGCTCTATCAGGCCGTGGGGGATGTCTTCTCGTGCGTGGAACGACTCAGCAGAAGCTTTGTGCGTACTCCCGACACAGAGGAAGAGGAGGAGCCGCCAGCAGCTAGCCAGCCGCTATTCCCAGCCAAGCCTGCGGAGCCCCTAAACAAGGAGCAGCTGCGCACACTGGAGGGCGAGCACGACAAGGATGAGGACAGCACACAGCAGGCGGGCGCAGTGGCAAATACAGACACAGCAGCAGCCGCAGCGGTGGAGCCAGACCTGGAAAATGACGATGATGCCGGGCCGGAGGATGTCGACGATGAGGATGTGCCCATGGAGCCAGCACCCAAATGTGAGTCCAAAGCTGAGCCGCTGGATCCGTCGATGAGCAGCGACACGCTGGTGGATTTTGATGGACTGCGACGTGTGCAGCGGCTGCTGTTTGCCTCCAAATCGCGCACAGTCACGGACAAGCTGACCAGCAGCGTCATCCAACTGGCCGACTGGATACACTACATGCGGCGCTACACACCAGACTGGGAGAAGGTTGTCCATTGTTTGGTTATTTGCTTTGATTTGGCCACGAACAGTGAGTAAAAGACACACAAACTTGTTGGATTTTCCATTGATTTTCTGCTCTTTCTTTGCTCAGCCAACAACATGGACTATCTGGATCGTGTGCTGCCCAAGCTGTGTCTTGCCGCCGCCTCCATGTCTGTCAAGGCTCAGGCGCGCTTGGCACGCATTTGGGCAGCGCATTGCTCGGATCAGCTGCAAACGTTGGTTTCCTCCTGCCAGCAGCAAATCACGCTGCAGGTGCTGCTGGACGAGGAATCGGTGCGCGAGAATGAGCACATTAAATGCGTGACCAAAGTGCTGAAGGTAACGCCTCAACGCTGGCTGTCTGCCTCCACTTTGCTCACTCCCTTCCCTTTTTGCAGATTGTTTTCTATGCCAACATTTTGGCCAGCGAACTGGAGCGTCCCTCGTGCCGTGTCTCAGCGGATGAGCTGGCGGAGAGTGCCGCCAGCACTTCAGCGGATGGTGTGCCCCCGGAGGAGGATCTCTTTCTGTACAATCAGGTAATGCATCCGCATATGCCCAAGTTCGCGGAGGATCAAATGGAGAAGGCACTCAAGGTCTCCGCCATCGATTGCCGCAAGCCGCTGGTGCCGCTCGAGGAGTTCTACAATGAGGCGCTCAGCGAGAATATACAAATGCATCACGACTACCTCTCGTACAAGTCGCTGGCCATGGAGAGCGAGGTGGGCTCCAGTCACAGCACTTACTTCTCCTTCATGCTGTACGCGTTTATACTGACGCCCGCGACCAAGGTGGATGCGCTGTACTACGACAGTCGCATGCGCATGTACAGCGAACGCTACTCCACGCTCTATTCGATCATCAATAACTTTGGCCAGGACGGGCAGGATGCCCAGCATCGGCCGGATCTCAAGCTGACAGTGCGACGTGATCAGCTCATCAATGATGCGCTTGTGGGGGTAAGAATTGAGCAGTGAGATTCCTCTGGCAAAAGAAACTTCAAGAAACAACTTTTGTTTCTGTTTTTGCAGCTGGAACTGGTTGCCATGAGCAATCCCAAGGATCTCAAGAAGCAGCTTGTTGTGGAGTTTGTCGGTGAGCAGGGCATCGACGAGGGCGGCGTATCCAAAGAGTTCTTTCAACTGATTGTTGAGGAAATATTTAATCCAGCTTTTGGCATGTTTGTGCAGCAAGAGGAGACCAATAATATGTGGTAAGTGTGCGCCACAGCCCGCTGCCATACGCTGCTCTCTCACGTTTCCCTCCCCTTCGCAGGTTCAATGCCACACCCTTCGAGAATGGCGCGCAATTCACGCTCATTGGCATCATCATTGGACTGGCAATTTACAACAACGTCATTCTGGCTGTGAACTTCCCCATGGTCGTGTATCGCAAGCTCTTGGGCTATCGCGGCACTTTCTGTGATCTGCGCGACTACAGTCCCACGCTGTACACGAGCCTCAAGTCCATGCTGGACTTTGAGGGGCAGAACATGGAGGAGGCTTTCGATCAGACCTTTAAGATCAGCTACAGCAATGTCTTCGGGGAGATGGTGGAGCATGAGCTGGTGCCGCAAGGCCAGGAGGTGCTTGTGGGGCAGCACAACAAGCAGCTTTTTGTGGACCTCTACGCGGATTTTCTGCTCAACAAGAACATACAGCAGCAGTTTAATTCCTTCCGCAAGGGCTTCGAAATGGTCACCGATGAGTCGCCGCTGAAGCTGCTCTTCCGTCCCGAGGAGATCGAGATGCTGGTCTGCGGCAGTCGCGTGAGTTAAAAGGGAATGAAGAGATGATAAATGGGCAGCAATAATTATCTCTACTTTGCAGGAATTCGACTTTGTGGAGCTGGAACACTCCACGGAGTACGATAGCGGCTACACGGAAGAGACGCAAATAATTCAAGACTTTTGGAAAATTGTGCACGCCATGCCGAATGAGTCGAAGCGCAAGCTTCTCGAATTTACCACAGGATCGGCGCGTGTGCCCGTCGGTGGACTCAAGTGTTTGCGTCTGTTGATCACGCGGCATGGGCCGGACAGCGATCGGCTGCCCACATCGCACACCTGCTTCAATGTGCTGCTCCTGCCGGAGTACAGCAGCAAGGAGAAGCTGGAGGAGCGCCTGCTGAAGGCAATCAACTACTCGAAGGGCTTCGGCATGCTGTAGGCAGTGGGACCACAGGACAGTCTGGGAACCAATTGCATCGTAACTGATACCACCTCTCTAGGATCGAAGGAACGAAGGACGATGACGATGGATGATTATTTTGGGTTAATGTTTATATTTTTAGTTTGGGTTATGCCATTTATTTTTGATACAACTCAAATGAGACAATATACCATACATATATGCTCAATTTCTGGCGCGATGGCAAGCAAACAACATAAAAAGAAGAATAATGATGAACGGACACGACTTTCACGACTAAACTCTCGAGAAACTCTCTCCACACTAACATTCTGTTTTTTTGTGTTTTGTCGCTCAGTTAATTGTAAATATATATAAATATATATATTATATGTACTATAGCATATAGTGTGTGTGTATTGTCACCCATGTAATTATATATATACTATATTTATGTCGCCATGCACTGAAGATTTACCTAATAAATTTTAAGTGCGAGCCAACCAGCAAACAGTCTAAAAACTAACCAAAAGGTTACGATTTTTGTGGCTCTAGTGCTTTTAAAAGCTTATTACTCTCAAATAAGGTGCTCAACCCACAGACAATTGATTCATCAATCGTATAAAACTATAGTTTTAATGTCTAGAGTCCTAATCAACTAGTAATATTACATGGAACATCAAAATCGAGAAGTACAATTTAGCCTTCGGTATATTTAAGGTATATTTAAAAAGTAATTGGTATATTTCGGTATATCATGCGGGTCATGTGGTATATTTTATCGATAAATCCACTGTCGCTGGCATCGGATCCAGTGGGACGCGATTTGGAGGTTTCATTCGGCTTTCCCCAAGAACTTGGGGCTCGTTCTAACACTTTGAAATCTAGTGCACTCGAAGGAACATGCAACAATTATAACGCAAAGTGCTCCCCATCTCAGAAGTGCCTAACAAATTAATTCCGTGCGCGTGTGTGAAAGTGTGTCTTTGTGTGTGTGTGTGAACAGAACAGTAAATTCCAGCATAATGCAAAAACAACAACAGCGCACATTGCTGTTGCGCCTTGCAGCTCTGCCCCTATTGTTTTTGCTTTTGGCGTCGCAAGGAGCCCACGCCGATGCAGTCGCAGCGGCAGATGCTGCTGCCGACGTCGCTGCAGCAGAGTCCAATTTGAATGGTTTGTTTTCTTCTGCACCACCGCAATGAGTGAGAACATCTCTTGAATTAGTCGACATGGAAAATTATCTTGCATTCAAAGGCGGCTTCCTCCATTTGCATCGCCATCTGTGATTTTGTTTACGTTCTCGGTCATTCCATCCTGCTGCCACTACCCTGTAGTTTTATGCAGAGTAGAACGGTATATAGTTTTGGTATTTCATTGAAATGAGAACTAGTCCTGGGCATACATTGGCCTCAAGAAGAGGTATCTTGGAGTCGACTTTTGCTTGTTTTTTATTCCGTTTGATGTATGAGTACGTTTACCCTGGATTTGCATGGAAGGAGCAGATGCGGATCGCCATAAAAATAGCCAGATTCTAATGAAATTCAATTCAAACGCGTTCAACCCGTTAATGAAACAAAATAAAACCTGTTCATATTTGCCACAAAGAACAAAGACTTAGCAAACCAATATTTTATTTAAAATTCAATAAAGCTCTACTAATCCACATATGCATCTCTCCATCTCCACAGATAAGGTCAAAGTATTTACGGTGGCCACTGAGCCCACCGATGGCTATGCCCGCTATGTTCGTTCTGCACGCATCTACGATGTTCAGGTGAGATATTTCGCTACATTTTTAGGTATTATTTTTGCAGCTAGATATTGGGTATTCTACAGTCAGTCTCATTTGCACATGATATCTAAAATCTTGGCATCGGTTTGCGGTTTCGCAAGAACCGTTATGCGAGCTAGCAGAAAGAAAAGAAGCGAAAGATTAACAGTTAGTCCATAAAGAATTTTTACGTGTGAATCAAAGGCTTGTTTATGGAACAGTTTCTTATTTTATAAATGTTTAAAGAAGCTTTGAAGAAAATGATTATTACAGAATGATTAATAAAAAACAATTAAAACTGGGATTTCAGAAGACAAAGGGATTTACGATTCATGTAGGATTGCGCATACACTTAATTCTGAACAGAAGAGATCCTTGATTAACGGCCCAACTATACCATCCCAGAAATTAAAATCTATTCTTTATAAATTTCATTAAAAGATCATAGCAATCAAAAGCATATACCAAAATTCATTCTAGAAACGAATTTTGTGACCAATTCTTTCATATGAAAATGGGGGCTGATTGTTTTTATTGATGAATTTCTAATTTGACGACTGTCCAGAGAATGTGTTCTTCATAAAAACTTGTCTAAAAACCACAAACTATACTATATACACTCGTATGTGTTGTATGCTTCCTACATATTGGACAGATAAGGCTGTGTGTTCTTCCAAAGATCTCGAAGAATCTCGCCGGTTTGTCGGCTTGTGGCACACTTTCATAACTTTGTATTGTTTTATGTCTGTTCCTCTGTATGTGGGGTACAATGCTATAATATGCGGCCAAGCATCCGGCACGGCATCTGATGTGTACCCCAGAGATTGGCTGGACATTGTGGGGGGCACGGGAAAGGGTACCGCCACCGGCAACATCTAGTGCACACATGTTGAAAATTTGTATTCGTTTTCGTATTAATCACGTAGTCCCGTCCCATTGCAGTTGCCGGGGGTTATTAGAACAGAGATACAGGTTCCATTCGGTTTCTGGAACTTTCTTCCAATCATCTTCCACATACAGATGGGGGTTTGACTTTTGCTTATCAGCGGATTTGCTCCCACTAACCGATGACAGTTTCTGTGTGCCAGAATTTTGTCAAGCGGCCCGCTGAATGTTTTGGTATACGAAATATTCTGCTGATTAGCACGATCCTGATACTCCCTTTCCTCCGTGCCGTCTTGGATTTCGTTCGTTGTGTATTCTTAGAACTGTGTGAACTGGGGCCCCAAGCGATTGCAGAATGAATGCGAATTGGAGTTGGGGCATTCGGTTTCACATATTCATTTGGTTCTTTATGTTTTAGGAATAATTGGCGATTACTGTCTGATTTTAATCAAGTTAACATCAACAGATTCTATCTTTAATTGCCAATTTTTCCCAAGGGTTATCTAAGGAACTACTAGGAAATCCCTTTGAAAACTTTTCAAATCTATTAAGTAAGCAAATGAATAAAATGAAAGTACTCGGAGACAATCTAATGTATTGAGGTTATCTATAAAAGATCTAGCTATCAATAAGCAACCGGAAGTCAACAAAATTGAGTAGATATTTCATGTTTAAGACTTGTGAAACCCACTTAAGATTCGTTTACAACTATTTTTAAATCTGAATCTCTAATGAATTTACTTTCCTGTATGTCAGGTCACCACCTTAGGCCTGGGCGAGCAATGGAAGGGCGGTGATATGCAGAATCCTGGTGGCGGCTTCAAGATCAACCTACTGCGAAAGGCCATAGAGCCGCTGAAGGATGAACAAGATACAATTGTGCTCTTCACAGACAGGTAAGAAGGATCGAAACAGTAAAAAAAAGGAAAATAAAATCCTTTATTTCCATAGCTACGATGTAATCATCACGGCCACGATAGAGGAAATTGTAGAGCTGTTCAAGAAATCCAAGGCCAAGCTGCTGTTCTCCGCTGAGAAGTACTGCTGGCCGGACAGCAGCCTCACCGATGCGTACCCCGAGGTGGAGGGCAATGCCTCGCGCTTCCTCAATTCGGGCGCCTTTATTGGCTATGCGCCGCAAGTGTTTGCCCTGCTGAAGGAGGACATTAAGGACACCGATGACGATCAGCTGTACTACACGAAGGTGTTCCTGGACGAGGCTAGACGTGCCAAGCTGGGCATGAAGCTGGACACGCAGTCACGCCTGTTCCAGAATCTGCACGGCGCCAAGAACGATGTCAAGCTGAAGGTGGACATTGAGACCAATCAGGGCACGCTGCAGAACGTTAACTTTCTGACCACGCCCGCCATTGTCCATGGCAATGGACTGAGCAAGATCGAACTGAATGCCTATGGCAATTATCTGGCTAAAACATTCAATGGCTTCTGCACTATTTGTCAGGAATATCTCCTGGAATTGGATGTGAGTGTTGGCCATCCCTCATGCAGCGTAGATTTAATTTAGTTTGGAATTTTCTTCCAGGAAAAAGACTTGCCCGTCATCTCTCTATCTGTGATTGTGCCCATGGCTGTGCCGTTCTTTGATCAGTTCCTCGAAGGTATCGAAAAGATCAACTACCCCAAGCAGAATCTACATTTGCTCATCTACAGCAGTGTGGAGCTGCATGATGCGGACATCAAGTCGTTTGTGAACAAGCATGGCGAGAAATATGCCAGTGCCAAGTACACTCTGTCCACGGATAAGCTGGATGAGCGTCAGGGCAGGCAGTTGGCACTGTAAGTGATTGAGGAGAATATTAATGTGGATAGATTTGTTGTTTTGTGGTTTGTGTGCTGCTAAAGATAGAGAAGATTGTATTCCTGGTGAGAAACACTCAGCAGAGATATTTAATGCAGATATTGAAATGACTTAAGTTGTGAGAGAGCGTCAAGCTATGCAAAATATACGAAGTCTGCCATGTTTCTTCCAACGTGGCTCTGTGGCCCAAGGTGCGTTACTCTTTGAGAACATTTTAGTTAAAATTTCTGCTGTAAAGCATTAAATCGGGCACATAATTATCCCATTTTTAAAGCACATCCTAGCCCACAAATGCGTCTAGTTTTAGCTTTGCCTTTCCCCAAAGAACATTAAAATATTTACCATAATTTCTTTACCATTCCAGCGAACAAGCCAAGCTGCGCAAAAGCGACTACATTTTCTTCATCGATGGAGATGCACATATCGATGATGGCGAAGTTCTACGTGAATTGCTCAAACTGAACAAGTATGTCCATAGCCGAAACCTTACTGTAATCGAAACACTGATAACCCCTCCCTTTTGCAGGCAATTCGTGGCGCCGCTGTTTGCCAAGTATCACGAGCTGTGGAGCAACTTCTGGGGCGCGCTCTCCGAGGGCGGTTTCTATGCGCGGTCGCACGACTACGTGGACATTGTCAAGCGGGATCTGATGTAAGCATAAAAAGTCAATTGCTTATGCATTAGGTGGAACAATTTTATTGCTTAAGCCTAGAGTGCCACGCCCCGAACTGCATGATCAGTCGAAGGCAATGGAGAAATCTGTTTTGAAGCTGCGCCGATCGATGGAGTACATGTTGTCGGCGGTGCACTCGTACAGCCCTGCGTCCATCTGTGTGGCTGGATCGATTTCGATCTTGGACTTTACCCTGTCATCGCCAATGGTCCACTCGTGGACGTGCATGTACAGATGCTGATAGATCTCCGCACCGTCCTTGTACCAGGTGATGTGTGGCCGCGGATTGCCCTTGGCCACGCACAGGAAGGCGATTTTGTGGCCCAGCACGTACTCCAGATCAAAGTGTGAGGCCTGCAAGATTTTAGCACCCTGTGGGGGAGATCCCAAATTCGATTTGTGTTCATATTTCACCATTGAAAACTTTCTCAACTCACATTGTTATTGTTGTAGTACTGATCGGATTCGGGATCGCGATATTTGCCTGTGATGGGCAGCCCGATCTGCACCCTCGACTTGGTGCGTCCTCGACCACGGGCACGTCGCGCCTCACACACGGGTCCGGTGGACAGCATGAGCAGGCCCAGGCCAAGACAGATGATCAGGCATTTGACCTGCATTGCTATGAGTGTGTGTGGTGTGTGTAATGTGTGTGCGGTGTGTTTGCTCTGTGGCTCCGTCCGACGGTGCTGTGCGAATCTCGTCTGCTTGGCGACTGAACCACGCTGCTGTGTGCCCTGCTCGATGCCTCGATTTGCACCCCCACGTAATTTGCCACAATTGGCGTCCGTTGCCATATAATCCCATGCACCGAGCCAGTGGGAGAGCGAGAGCTCTTCCAAATGGATGTTTGGATGGTTCCTCATCTCTGCACACACTCAATTTCATGGCTTGATTTAATTTGATTTGAATGTTTGTTCGGCTCGCAAAACAGGAGGCACTCTGTGCACCCCTTTTCCTGATAGTTTCTGCATGGGCACCGTGGGGCAAGGGCACATTGAAAGGGAAATTATTTTATGGGAGAAAGTTTTTCCTCTTTCTATATTTAATTTTGGGAAATATTAGAAGAATTATTTTGAGTTAATTTGTGCACACTTATTGCTAGCCTTCGACCCACTGTGCCCTTGTGTTGTTGACATTTCAAAGCCACCACTGTATGTGGTTTGCTTTCACACATTTTAATAAAATAAATGCAAAAAAATCATTTAAATTAGGTAATTGAGCCAATTTGTCGGCCATGCACCAACACAACTACAATGCAAACACACACGCACACACATACATGAGAGGCATAAGGTCGAATTGAAATTTCCATAAAATGAGACGCAGAAAAGTATTTTTATACATTTTTATATTATTTATTATTAACTTTAGCTTTACATCCAAGTGATCTAAAGTTTAGTTTGAATTTTACTGCGCTAAAAGTTAACCATTACATAGTCCGTGCGAAAGCCACGACGATCAATGGCATAGATATTGTCCGCTTGGCATTCGTAGTAGCCTGAAATGTGGTGTAAAATTATGCATTCATATTCCCTATTTCTCCATAAGTTCCCTGACTTACCCGCATCCATTTGTGTTGTGGGATCTATTTCCATTTTACTCTTGATAATATCCGTCTCTATATGCGATTCGTGCACCTAAAAACGTAACCACAAGGAGTGTCAGTTGAGTGTTTGCTAAGAATTCGTTTTTGTTTACCTGAAAGAATCGATGCTGATAGAGCTCAGCGCCATCCTTGAACCAAGTAATGGTGGGCCTTGGGTTACCTAAGTCAGATACAACCATGAACACTTTCCTGAGCAGAAATCCCTTTCCTACTCACCTTGTGCCATGCAAAAAAAGGTGATCTTGCGTCCCAGCGTGTAATCCAACTCAAAATGCGAGGACTTGATTATCTTGGCACCCTATAAAGGCAGCAAAAGTAATTTAAAAACTCTAAAAAACGTTTTGTCACTCACGTTCTCATGATCGTAGTAGCTGACTGCATCCTGGGAGAGGTGCTGAATGACCACGGGCTTCTTGCCCGTATAGTTGCGTCGCAAAACATTTCTGCCGCCCGTGCTTCCTGGTAAATAAGCAAATACTTGAGTAACCAGTGGATAGAGGGATTTATTTACTCACTTTGAGCGGCCACACGGCCAAGATCGCTGAGCAGCAGCAGCAGGCAGAGGCCGAGTAGTGCAGATTGTTTAAGATTCCAGCACCAGAGACTACAGAGACTGGTCATTGTCGAGCCGTGTGTGATGCCGATCGACGATCGTCAACGAGGAATGTTGTTTTGATACTGCGCTCTGCATCTGCACGGCATATTATCCACTCCACTCCCGAACCCACTCATGCCTCACCTTTCTCCCCCTGGCTGCGGACACTTATTTGATTGAATTACCCGTAAAATGGAGGGGATCGCCACTTTCCATTTCGCGGCTTTGTTGCAGAATTCATTGCGCAGTCAATTTTGTGCCTCTCTCTCGACTTATTCATCAGTTCTCTCACGTTCTCTTCCATTCTCCAATAGCGGCATGTTCAACGTGCCACATGTCACGAGCATTTATCTGGTGAAGAGCAGCGCTTTCGATGTCCTCAGCTTCCAGCATAGCGAATACGACCCCGATATGGCCATGTGCGCATCACTACGAAATGCGGTAAGTAAACAATAAACGAAGCAAAAAACTATAATCCAAATTGTGGCTTTGTTTTTTCCAGGGTATATTCATGTTCATTAGCAATCAGCGCTACTTTGGACACTTGGTTAATGCCGATAGCTTTGATACTAAGGTGACACGTCCCGACTTTTATACGCTGTTCAGCAATCGGTATGACTGGACCGAGAAGTACATTCATCCGAACTACTCGGCGCAGCTGAATGCCACAGTGATTGAGCAGCCGTGTCCGGATGTTTACTGGATGGCAATCGTCACGGATGCCTTCTGCGATGATCTGGTTGCCATTATGGAGGCACATGGCACCTGGTCGGATGGCAGCAACAATGACAATCGTCTGGAGGGTGGCTACGAGGCTGTGCCCACGCGTGACATTCACATGAAGCAGGTGGGCCTCGAGGTGCTGTACCTAAAGTTCCTGGAGCTGTTTGTGCGACCCCTGCAGGAGCGCGTCTTTACCGGCTATTATCATAATGTGAGACTATGGCTAAAAGTTCCTAGAGATCGGTTTGTTAATGTTTACTCCATCCACAGCCTCCTCGTGCCCTGATGAACTTCATGGTGCGCTATCGGCCCGATGAGCAGCCTTCGCTGCGGCCCCATCATGACGCCTCGACCTATACCATCAACATTGCCATGAATCAGAAGGGCATCGACTACGAGGGTGGTGGCTGCCGCTTCTTGCGTTACAACTGCTCCGTCACAGAGACAAAGAAGGGCTGGATGCTGATGCATCCTGGCCGACTGACCCACTACCATGAGGGTCTGTTGGTGACCAAAGGCACACGCTACATCATGATCTCCTTCATTGATCCGTAGACGCGGAAGAGATTCGAATGGGCAAATAATGGTTACTATATACGCATAACTGCCATATCGGCCACTCCAAAGAATTGTATCCTATGCCCAAAAAACAAAACCCGATCAAATCTAGTTAAAGTCCCAGTAGAAGAAGTTGGGGGTTTTTCGGCCAGTCTGATGATTTTTGATGATTTTACATACCCAACTACTTTGAGACCGATAGCTTTAGAGTCCCTAAAAAGAATCTGTTTAAGCCCTAAGTTAAATGTAAGTTTTTGTATAACGTATTCAACGTGTTCAAGTCTGCAATCAAATAAATGCAATTATTAAACAATTTACACTTCATTTCAGAAAAATAAATACTTACATATCCATGTGGAATTCTCCAGATAGAAACAAATTAACACCATATAATTGAACACCTTACCTTTAATCCATTCAAAAAAGTGAATTCTCCATACAAATAACATATTTCAGAAGTTTTTATCTGCATTTAATACTCGAAATTATTAATATTTTTATAATTTGTATTTTCTGTTTATTTCCATTTCATATAAGGTTTAGTCTCACGACAACCACTGTGCGGGCAAATGCATCAACTCATATCTGCTCAACAACCGCTATTTCGATTCTTGCACACCAAAACACGCCTCACAGTGCCGGGTTAACAGTGCCAGAGAGCGAGAGAAAGAGAGAGCGAACGAGCAATGAGCAGAGAACAGAGCGCCGTAAGAACAGCTGGTGCGCCGTCAGCAGAGGCCCCCTCATGGCCCCATGTGCACAAGCAGAACTTGCAGTCTCGGCCGTGTATTCTCTCCGTCCCTGTCTGGCCACATTCGTTGCGAGCTTCGTGGCGTCGCTGTCGACGTCGCTGGTCGTCGCAGCAGCGGCTTTTTGTTTCCGTTCCGTTAAGTCTGGCCATTCGCGTTTTTCCTAGGAGTCGGTGCGGGCTTTGCTGCGCGGTTGATTTTTACTGTTGGTCTCTCTGGCCTGCGCCTGGATATCGCAAGTGCGTGTTAAAAATAGCTTAAAAAACGGAGGAAAACCACCCACAAAGATAAAAACACACAGTCTCGTTTATCATGGTGCTGGATATCAATGAACAACAAAAAATAATCAAATAAATAAAATGCGGAAATGCAAATTTGTGAGGGACTTTAAAACGCCGCATCCTTTAAAAAAGTGTCTGTGACTCTTGTGTGTGTGTGTGTGAAATAAACAAAAAGGCGAAAGTTTGTTGTTGGCTCTCCGCACAGGCTCTCTTGTGCTCTTGTTCCTTGTTCCTCGTTCTCTTTTGCCTTCCTTCCTTCCTATTGCCGCGTGCAAGGTGTTTTTAGTGCAAGGTATGGCAGTAGTGCTGCTCCTGCTTGCTGTATGAAGATGCCCTCACCTTGCTTAAGAACACACCTTTCTTTTCCTGTTTCATTTCCCTACATTCTTTTTATTACTCTATTTACACTTTTCGACTCCCTGTGTGGGCGCATGTGTGTATTTGGGTGTGTGTGTGGTTTAGTGAGTGAACGAGTGCGCGTTCGGGGGCGGCTGACATCTCACAACTGATGTTGCTGCTGTCCTTGTTGTTCCTGTTGGCCAAGTTTTTTGTTGCTTCCAGAAGTTGCGCTGGGCAACCGTTAAGGCAACAGCAACAACACTAAAGAGGGCGAGTTTCTCTCATGGCTGTTCAATTTTCTCTTTAAAAGAAAACCCAACCAGACTGCCTGCCTGCCCGGAGAACAATTCCAATTCATTGCCAACTCTGAATTTAGCCGGCAATAAAACCGAAAGTGTCTGGCTGCCAGCAGCATTCGTGGTTCCCTTTGATGAGCCGCCGCAACCGCAGACGCCACTCGAATGTGATTGGAGAGATCTTGGCGTTTCCGTGTGCCGTGTCCTTCCGCGTCGCTAACAAGCCGGAGCGCCCCGGACCAGAGGTGAGTACAGTTTTCCTTTTGCCCTACTCTTTCTTATGCGTGTGTATTGGTGAGGATATTGCATGGCAGAAGGGTTATGTTAACTTTGAAGAGAGTTTGGTAACGTGGAGTAGAAGGAAAGTTTTTCTGTTGATTGTGATACAATGTACTTTAGGTTAAAAAGATTTTATCTATTCATTTCCCATGGCAAAAGCTAATAAATTCTTCTAATAATTGTAGAAAATTTGATCTTTGCTGCAGTGTTAGGGCATTCAAACTTCGCGTTGGTTAAGAAAGCTTACTTCCCGTTTGATTGCCGTTTTCTATTAGCGAGCGAGTGCCTGGTGTTCCCTATCCGTCGCCACTCGAACAGAGAGAGGAACACGGGTCCAACCAGCTGCTAATGGCGCGCGTTGGCTTGTGAAAAAAGCAAAAAAAGCGAAAAGAAAACTGCCAGAAAGGGGGGCGTTTAGGGAATAGGGAGATCTAAGCATGTGTGAAAGTTCTCCCCCAACCCCCCTCCAATGTGTTGGCCAGCAACATATGGTGGAAGCTCATTTTCTTTTGACTTCTTGAATTTTGCGGTGAACATAGTATAAACACACAGCAGCCAGCCAGCCAGCACCACTCCGTATGTAAATATATTATTAAATATGTATTTGGGATATTTATTCAGTGGGTTAAGTCAATTATGCGAGGGTTATACGAGTATTTAATGGTCCTGCCAACCGATGAGCCTCGATTTATTATTCAAATGAAATCAGTTTGCAGTCTTTCATCAATTTGATGGCCTCAAAGGCAGAGACACTCTGAATCTGTCGCTTAAATTGACCCTAGGACCTAGGAGCTCGTTATGTGCTTACTCTGGGGTCCTAAATCAAATTTACATTCCGGCAATCATCATAAAAGAAAGCAGCAGAGCTTGCCCCCAGGCAGGTGCAACCCCCGTCCGTGGTACACACATGCAAATGATTGGGGATGTGGCCCAGTGCCCGGGTCTCAAAGTCCCCGTGAAAGTCCCTCCCTTTCACGCAGGACATGTGCGTGCGTGCGAAATCTGCGAAAAAAAGTGAAGAGAAACAAAAAAAAAATTATTAACAAAGGCTCCCCGAGGTGCGGCTAAGGATGGGGCATGGGGCGAACCGTACTCACATGGGGAATTACATCCATCGTCGCACAGAGTCAGACAGAGCCTAGCCCCCTCGGGACAGGCGCACTGCGGCTGTCAAAACAAGGCCCAGCCCCTCCCTTGCGAGCGACGAGCAGCTGCTGCTCTACTGGTTAATGGCATTTGAGGAGGCGCCCCCAGGCCACCAGCCTGAAACTCGAGCGAGTAATTTGTGTCACGTTTTAATTTTTGACGCCGCAAAGGACATTCGAGTGTCTGTGCGACGGGCTTGCTCCGTGATTATGACAATTAGGATTGCGTTGAGTTCTTCTTGGTATTTAAAAGGGTTTATTTTGTAAGCCCTTTTTTTCAAAGGAGACAGCACCCTGGAGCGTGCCTTTGTCCCACTGCCAACGAGTGCTCGTGTGCATAATTAAAGGGACACAGGAGTCGTGTTCAAAGGCGATGGAACAACATACGGTATTTAGCTTTAAAAGGTTTTAATATTTAAGGAGGTATTCTCTGCCATTCCAGCTACGTGGCCAGCTTTGTGTCTTAAGTTTGTTCAAGAAAATATTGGTGGGCAGCCATTATCGTGCCCATTTATCAAGCATTTATCTATTGTAAATTTCCCATTTGAAATTTAAGCCTAACCTGCCATGAATCACCTGAAATTAGATGTGTTTCAGCCTGTCCAAGCACATATCAATCAATTTGGTTAAAGTCCTTACCAAAAGCAAGGGGAGTTTCTACAGTTTTACCATTTTTAAAGGTTTTTTTCTTAGCTTTTTGTTGAAATTTTCTTCAGTGTAAAATCATCCATCATTTTTCTTTGAAACCCGCTAATTGGATAAATATGGAAATCAATCATTTTCAGGCATAATTGCAATTGGGAATATTATCTTTTGTAGCCTTGGACGGCTTTTCTCCTTTGGCTGTCAAGTGGTTGGTTCAACATGCCACAAAGCTTCACAAAATATGCCAGTGAACTGTCCAACGTCATTTGCAGTGATTTTTGCACTGCCACTTTGGATTCTGCTGTGGATGCTGTTCTGATTCAGAAACGCATTTCAAGCATCCCTGCTCTGCGTCAGCGCCTGTCAGGCTGCCTGACTCTCAAATGGAAGGCTGGCAGGCAAAAAACGGTGAAAACTTTGACAGTTTTTCTCGGGTGTAAAAGAAAGTTGCGTTAAACATGAGACATTGCTAGAGATTCGAACCAACCAGCGATGAATGCAATTCCTGCCGAATATATCCCTAAAGATTTCCCTTCAACTTCTTCATAAAGTGGTGAAACGACTGCTTACAAATTTGTTAGGGAATCTCATTAAATAATGGAAAAAGATTCTGTGGTTTCTGTCCTTTAAGTGGAAACCCTATTTCCTTTTTTTCATTGCTGTATCCATGGCAAATTTCAATTGAATCATTTTTTAGTTGCATTTCCCTGCAACAGTTACCGCCATCTTTATTGGGAAACCCTCGGAAATGAGATAGTCATGGCCGTATTTCCTCTCCTCTGACTCCGCAATTTCCACTTTGAACATCACAGCGAGAAAAAGAAACAGAGAAAGAGAGAGAGGGAGAGGGAGAGGGACAGAGAGAGGTAACCAACAACTGCGTAAACAGACGCGAACAGGACTGCGGCAGGACATCATGAAGTACTGAAGGAATGGCAAGAAGGAATGAAGGGGGTCTTCAGTCAATTTGACAAACATGACACAGAAACGGAAACGAGAACGAGAACGAGAAGGAACAGCCAGCTCCTGGCTGACTTGCAACTTGGGGCAGTAGCAGCAGCAGTTTCCTTAATGGACACTCTTCAGACACGACTCTTTGCCGCGAGGCATTCCTACTCCAAGAAGCAGACTTGGGAGAGCGGGAGCCTGGCAATTAAATTTTTAAAATGCCATTTCAAAAGCAATTTCGAACGGCAGTGCAAATTAAAAATGCCAACTGTCTACCAGTGCCAGAACGAGGATGAGGACGATGACAACCAAACTGTACTGTGTGCTGTGTGGCAAAAGGGAAATAGAAAGCTCAGAGAATCGGTGTAGAAAGAGCTGCAGGAGCAGGACCAGTAGCCGTAGGACAACAAGCTAAAGGAAATATTTTCACAAATAAACGAAAATTGAATTTTGTGGCCAAGGAATGGCAAGTTTTGTCTGCTGCGGAGGCTCAGGCCCACAAAATATAGAAAACTCTAAGGAATGCCAGCCAGTCGGCTGATTCATTTCGACCATTAGTATACCCCGCGACCATAATTTATAGTTAGCATATGAGAAGAAGCGAAATGAAAGCAAAAAGGAAAGTTCTTACGGGAATTCCTTGTAGCCATATTTTGGCATTAAGAACTCTCCGATTTTGGTGTAATTTTATGCCTTAACTTGTGGCTTTTTGGGATTTTGTTTACGCTCTGAACAGTTCTCTATAAATCCCAATATACCCTTGCTAATCCATTTCTAAGCAGGCAATCTCCAGGCAAAAGAAAGTTTTTACCAAGTTTTGTGTGTATGCTTCTGGGCTTCATTTTTTTTGTTTGTGGGTCGGGTCGGCTCGTCTCATTGCAGTGATTCCAGGCAAGCCGGCGCCAAGTGCCGGTCTGGCGCCTGACTGGCTACTTTTTCTTTCGTGTAAAGTCATGTGCCCCAACCACTCGCGAGTGCCAAGTGAGAATGCGTTTTGTTGGGGTTCTGTTTTGCTTGGGACATTCGCAGCAACCAGACGCAGCGCTGCCAAATTCCCATCAGCTGTTGTCTATCAGCAGCCACTTCTATTACCCCTCAGCACACTTCTAACCTAGAATGCCTGAGCACATGCAATTTTAACTGAAGTATTAACACTTGAACTGAACCCTTTTCGATTAGTTTCAAATCATTTCGTTACGTTCCTTTTGCTCTTCCGGCTGTAGCAATGATTTTCTTTCCTTTCAGACCTTTTTATCCTTTAATTTCCTTCCGTTCTCCTGGTTTATCCGTTAAGTTCCTTCCCTTAGTTTATTGCGCCTCTTCAGTCTGTACTTTTAGTTTTCTTTTCCACTTCAGACTCAACAATTTTCCCACTGCATTGCTTATTTCGTACTTTGTTTTGGCTCTTTTCCTTCAACTATGTTTGGTTCTTGGTTCTGGCACTTTTTCTTGTAATTTAATTGGCAATCTTTGAAGCATTTTTCACTTTCCAGCTCCCATTTGGCCACCAGCCAGCCATGAACTTTGTGCTGCTTCTGATGCCAACCAATCTCAATCTCAATTTAACCAAAAACGAAATGAAAACAATGTTTTTATACATTTTCCCCTTTGGGCCATTTGAATGCGGATGAAATCGTTTACAAACTCAATTTGATTATGCTTTGGACAGACACTTTACAGATTCTCTATGCAATATTTTTCCCTTTTGACATTCTTCTTTTGAGGAGCATAAATGGGGAGCGAGAAGAGTTGGGGATGTTAAATTTGTTTCAATTTTGTGTTGGCTATTTGAGTGCTTAAAATTTTGTAATATTGGAATTGGATTTAAGGGAATTTTAGAGAGGGAAAAGCTTAAGGGAAAGACATACAAAAATATGTAAAAGTTTAACTATTCGAATTGCCATCAATCAATGGAAAATCTCTTTATTTCTCTCTTTTTCTCTTTCCCTGCGTTGCTTAGCAGCTTCCTTTGGGTTTACAATTACAAATTGTTCTCTTAAAACACGTTTCAGTATTACTCAAGCAATTACATAAGTGATTAAATGAATAATTTCCTTTGAAACCAAGTCACAAAATCCCAAATCCCAAATGATAATCGCAAACCTTAGAGCATGCCTTTTAGTGGGGTTCTGAGACCGACTTCCGCTTCTTTGGTGACTAAACGAATAATATACAAAACGGAATATCAGAAGAGCAAACGAAATGAAAGAGAGAACCGAACGAAATCA